GCGATCCTTCGCATTCAAGTCACCAGCTATGACGACAATAATATGACATATTGGTCAACCTTTTTTGTTACTATATTTAGACCAAAGATGTACAGCCACGTTTGTCGCAAATAACACGCATTACATGTACTGAGCCAAGGAAGCGGCAAGTCAATAGTAAGCAAGGCTACCTTATCCGAAGTTTTAGCCTTTTTCCTTTTAGATTTTAATAAATCAAATACTGCAAAGGTAGTTGCTATGTTCTTCATTATTAAATGTATTAGAATTACATATACTCTTGCAAGTGTCACTTTTAGGGTGACTAAAAGAAAGGTTGCATTCAGTTTCAAACACTCTACGGTAAGTTAATTCCTTAACACGTAAAGCATCTGGGGCATTGTCAGCAGTATCCTTCTTAAGATACAGTTTATACATCTTGAATTCTTAGAGTAGTGCAGGGACTTTTTTAAAAATATTTGATGTTCGGGAGTAATGGAATTCGTCAGCAGTAAACTGTCCAATGTGCTGTATAATATAATGTATTCTCTAACTGCTTCATATATCTTGCTGGGTCTATTACTGTGGTGGCTTCCTTCTTCAATGAGAGTATTTTACCGTCTTTTGGAGTCATGTATACTATAATGCAGCCAGTTTGGATGAGAGCCATTTTGAATGAGAACATAAAACGTTACATACCTCCTTGTTCCTTTGGAGTTATAAAATTATTTTGTAACATACTTCTTTCTTTAATTTTACTTCAGTAACAATATGTAGAGCTAGTGTCAATGTCATGCTTAGTTTAACACGTACCATCTTTATCCATGATGAAAACTCAAAAGCACAAAAATGTTATCTATACATGGTTCACCATTTAGTCCTTCATTTATTGAATCACCTAGCAAGAATAGAGGTGGGAACGAATGATTTGAATAGTTCCCAAAACCCAACAATGAAAGAGTATTGTGTGCATTAAATTTACGTTTCAGAAACTAGTCGCTGGTTAACTCTTCTTCTTTGGGTGCCGTCTTCAATGAAGGTTGGCGATAACCTCAGCAAAATCATTTCTGTCCCTGGCTTTTCTTATTAAAGATTGAGAATCCAAACTCCACTCACAAGAACATTCGTGAGTCCACTCACGAATGTTCTTCAACCAGGACGCCTGCCGTCTACCAGGACCACGCTTTCCTTCTACCTTCCCCTCTATAAGAAGCTGCAGTAGCTGGTATTTCTCATTTCTGTATATGTGTCCCAAATATGAGGTTTTCCGTGTTTTCATTATTTTTAAGAGTTCTCTGTCGGTACCCATCTTGTGTAGGACCTGCTCGTTGCTCATATGCGCTGTCCAGGGGACTTTCAGCATCCTTCGAAATAACCACATTTCAAAACTTTCCAAACGCCTTAGTGAGTTGATTTTGAAGGTCCAGGCCTCCATTCCATATAGTAAGGTGCTGTAAACGTAACATTTCAGCATTCGGTATCGGATTTTGAGATTGAGTGTTTGGGACGTAAACATTTGTTTCATTTTTAAAAAGACATTTCTTGCTTGTTCAATTCGCGATTTTATTTCTATGTCTGGATCTATATCTTTCGTTATCCAGCACCCTAGATATCGAAATTTCTCGACATTTTCGATAATGTTACCATTCACGTTTAAAGCCATGGGTGGATGGATGGATGTTTTGGAGACAATCACTGTTTTTGTTTTCTTGACGTTAATGCTGAGGCCGTATTGTTCTCCGATCGATCTGACGCGATCTAAGAGTGTCTGGAGATCCTGTGCGCTCTCTGCAATTAGGACCGTGTCGTCGGCGTATCGTACATTATTTAGAACTCTGCCGTTAATTTTAACACCTTCTCTTGATTGCTCTAGTGCTCGTGCAAAGATTTCTTCCGAATATATATTGAAAAGTAGTGGTGACAATACACACCCCTGTCGTACACCTCGCTTGATATTGAATATTTCTGTGTCACCGGCTTCTGTTCTAACTGCTGCAGTTTGGTTAAAATACAGTGTTTGGATAATTTTAAAATCGTTCTCGTCTAGTCCCTTTTTGTGAAGGCAATCCATCAGTTTATCATGTTTTACTTTGTCGAAGGCCTTTTGATAGTCAATAAAACATAAAAAGAGATCCTTTTTTTGGTCTCGACATTTTTGCAGCAGTATAATAAAACTGGTTAATGCTTCCCGTGTCCCAAATCCATTTCGGAAGCCAAATTGTTCATCACTGATATCCTGTTCACATTTCTTATAAATGCGTTGGTGAATAACTTTCAAGAATAACTTTAACATATGCGACATTAAACTAATAAGTCTGAAATCACCACACTTCTTTGCTCTCTTAGTTTTTGGAAGGGGAATAAAGACTGATTTTAACCAGTCTTGTGGAATTTCACCGCTTGTATATATTTGATTAAATAATTTGACGATTATATTTAAATGTTTCTCTTCCAGTAGCTTTATGACTTCCGTATGTATGTCATCGGGGCCAGGGGCTTTCCCATTTTTTGCGTTTTTGATTGCTCTCTCTACTTCTTGTTTTAATATAGGAGGACTGGTTTCATGGTTTTTATATATTATGTTGTTTAGTGGTGTGTCCGAGAATAGTTCTTCTATGTAATGTCCCCATACGTTGTTTAGATCGCTTGATTCCCATATCGTTTCATTCTCGTCGTTTGTTAATCTACAAGGTAGTCTTTGTTTTGTCATTCCAGCTAGATCTTTTATTTTTTTGTGAAGCGTTTGACTGTCGTGTTTCTTTATTAATTCTTCGATCTCTTGGCAGTTTTCTATCATCCAATTTTCTTTTGCGGTAGCTATTTCTTTCTTGATTTGACGATGTATCTCCCTATATTTTTCATTATCTTTATTTTTGTAGGCTCTTCGAGTATCCATCATTCCCAGAATTTTTTGGGTCATCCAGGGTTTAGATTTTCTTTTGTTATTAGTGTCTTTTATATATTTCTCGGCGCTAGTAAAAGCATTCTTGACTTCAGTCCATAAGCCTTCTGTAGTTGGTGATAACTCTCTTTGGAGTCTTTCACATTCCTCGTTGAGTTTAGTCTTTACCATACTTTGTATATTTTCTTGTTTAAGTAAATTGATGTCGGTTTTTCTTTTGACGGTCTTTTTTAGCGTTTTGAACTTTATTTTTAATTTAGCTACTAGTAGGTTGTGATCCGATGGAACATCTGTGCCTGGGTATGTTCTTGTATCCGTTACTGCATTTTTATATCGCTGGTTTATAATAATGTAATCGATTTGATTTCGGACACAATTGTTTTTATTATCTGCGGGTGATTTCCACGTATATAGCCTCCGTAGTGGTAGCTTGAACCAGGTGTTCATGATAGTTAGTTGTTTCTCCTGGCAAAATTGTAGTAGTCTGTCACCTCTATCATTGCGATTGCCCAGTCCGTAATTTCCACAAATATGTTCCACTTTTCCACAACCCACTTTGGCATTAAAATCTCCTACGATTAATGTTGTTTCATAACTCTTTGTCATTTTAAGTAATTCTTGGAGATTCTCATAGAACTGCTCTATTTCATCATCCGACTTGTCAGCAGTTGGTGCATAAACTTGGAGTATGTTTATGTTTACGGGCTTACTCTGTAATTTCAAAAGAAGCATTCGATCAGAATAGGGTATGAAATCAATTACTGCTTTTTTTATCTGCTCTGTTACTATAAGGGCTACACCATTCCAGTGTCTCTGCTGTTCGTTCCCCGAGTAGTATATTGTGTAGTCATCGATGGATACATTTCCAGAACCAAACCATCTCATCTCACTTATACCTAGTATGTCCACTCCAAGTCTTTTTATTTCACGAATGGTATTTTGAACTTTACCGGGTTCAAACATACTTTGTACGTTCCAAGTGCCTATTCGTACCAAGGATTGGTTATTAATGTATTCCACTTTCGGGTGGTTCCTCCTCGCGGGGATTCTTTGCACCCCCTGACCACTTAAGGTCTGCCGCGGACTAGGGGCCGTTAAATTTTTGTTTTGCATAGGTTACTTTACTAGGGAAAATATAGTGCAGTAGTTTCCCGTTGCTTTCTGCACCGCAGTATCACAACCGGTTAAATCATAATTTGATTACCGCCCGTGACTATCCGGTATCAGACCGATACAGAGATCTTGTCTCTACCGCTCTGATCCTGTAATGACATAGCTGCTGCCCTATGCCATGCTCTCAGTTGATCCGCGGGTGTTTATTTGGCAAAGCCTTATTCGCACCTGTCCTACATATCTGTAGGACGTTCCCTATCAGCCATTGGGACGCGCCGTGTCGGGGTTGAGAGCTACCCCCCTCCGAGTGTGTTTTCCAAGAAGTACTGAGAAGCCCCTACTCAGTTCAGAACCTCTCCTTCTTAGAAACTAACACCGGCACGCTGGTTAACAGTTAATCAAATCTGACAGCTCGGTTAGACGATCAGAGATTTGAATAACGTTTTTTACAAAACCGGGTGTAAGACATATGTAATAAGAAACTTTGAAACTAGAGGATTTCCATTAGATTGGAGACTAAAAATATAAGAGTAACTGAGCTTTTGAAGATATAAAAACGTTGTAAACGCGTTAAAATTGGCTATAGAAGCTTTAAAAGGATTGTACGTTTTAAAAGTAGTAAAAATAAGCAAAAAGCGTGTAACAAGAGCATATAAGCTTCAAAAATATCGTTAAAAACGTCATAAAAGCATCAAAAATCGATCATCTCGGGAAAAAGAGAGTAAAATCAATGTTGAAGTGTGCAAATCAATCGAAGAACGACTTAATAACGTTAGAATGTATTAAAAGCTTTAAGACGCGTCGTAAAACTTTTAAAACCGTTAAAACTGACCAATTTTTTAGTTGTCGATGTGTGGTTAAAGTAAATCAATTTTATTATCAATCGAATGATTAGTATCAGTTGGTTAAACAAAATACAGTAACTAGGACGTTTTTAGTAACATCAGATTAGCAATAGTGTTTACTTGTTGCTCAAGTTGGAAAAGGATTAAATTAAAATAACACCTACAACACTTTATATACTTTATTAACGAAACAAAATGCAGTTGCACCAGTACTTTTTAAAAATTACAAATCTCAAAAAATGTATCAGAAACTAATAAATATAATACAATAGGATTGGAGTTTGATGGAGAAGAAGGATAGGAATTCTGTAGGTAAAAATGCGTTTAATAAGTTCTTACTAACTCCTGGATACCGGTCGTAAAAATATATTATAATCTAGAAATATTTGACCCCATTCAAAATTGTTGCCCCGTTGTACATGACAGAAAAGTCCGACACATAAGTCTCATAAAAATTGAACGGTTGTAAAAAATTTGAACGAATATGTATTTGAAGTAATATAAAAAATGTAACTACATAGTCAATCATTTCTAGATATTTATATTTGTACTAAAAACGAGATTTTTCTATTCGCACGTTACAACACGGTTTAATTTTCTGATTTTTTCGAATTTTTAGAATTTTCAGAGTTGTTCGAATTTTCCGATTTTTTCGAATTGTTAGAGTTTTTCGAATTTTCTGAATTTTCAGATTTTTCCGAGTCTTCCGAACTTTCCGAACTCACACTTTCCTCGTGAATATTGAATAATTTGGCTACCTCATTGAGGTCTTCATATTTCTTCTGATCCATGAGCACCTGCCGCGCTATGTTCATTCTGTTAAAAACATTCCACAGAACTATACCCACTACGATATCGTCTCTTAAATAAAAGATAATTCCCTTGCCGAAATCTTCACCTTCGGCAACGTTCGGCGAATTATGAGATCGTCTTTTTTCTTCCAGTTCTTTTTTCTGTTCTTCCGATAGGTATTTATTGCATTCTTCTGGTACCTAAAAATACACTATATTTAGTATAATAATAGATTTAGCAAATATAAATTGTTAATAAGTCTTTTTTATTTTTTTACTTATTATTTACTATCTTTAATGGGAATTACCCATAATTTCAGTTGACAATAAGTTTATTTTAAATAAGTGAATATATAAATATATAAATTTATATACATTAACCGTTAGCATCTAAACATTCCGTATATGTATTTAGCACTTAGGACTTTTCTATTGGTCCTTTGCGGTACGCGGGCACGATTCAACCAATATACGGCGAGGTGCCAAAAACGTAAATGGAATGTTACTTTGGTACAAAATTCATAAATGTGGAATGTTAAATATTCGTAGACCAAAAAGACGACTTTTATTAAAATCAGTTAAAAGGAGACCGATTTTAAAATATTTGTGACATACCAACATTTGTGATTAAAGGAAACTAAAACAATGCAATAGAAAATAAAACAAAATATACATAAATAAAATATAAAACATTTTAAATATTTAAAATGTAATATTTATGCGAAATTCGACCTTCGCCATGTTTAGTACCTAATAAAAGGGTACATTGTTATTCAAAAAAATTCAAGCTGCAGTTATTTACCGAGATACATATTATATTCTATACATTAAGAGAAATAATTAACATATTTATTTAAGGACGGTTTGCCAGTTATTGTAAGTATAATTGGCGAGAATAATCAGAATTTAGAATCAGATGAAAGCTTTTCATACCTTCGTTTATCCGTTAATACAAAAGAATTTTTTTTTCTTATTTTGACAATGGAATAGGAATTAAAGAGTCTCTAGTTTATCATGAGTCCAAATTAGAATTTTAAATTAGCTTTGACAGTAAACTTTTAGCAAATTCAGACATTAATCCAACATATCGTACAGTGCAGCATTGGTATAATATATAGAGAACTAAAAATTTGGAACCTCGCGATGAAACTGGAGTTTTGAAAGTAAAGAGAGTCTCGGTAAAATTGTCTAAAATTCTTGTCCTTTTCGATTTTTTTAGAAAATGAAACAATCAATTGAGGTTTATAAAGAAATTTTAATAAAATACAATGAATACCCGTTTGCCTTAAAATTTGACGCTGGCTGTGTAAAAAAAACACGAATTTTTTCATTCTCGAAAACCAACGATTTCCGCAGTGGAAGAAATGTATGACCGAATATTGGAAAAGAAAGGAAGATAGGGCCTCGCTTGAAGGGACGCATCAACACATGGGACCACAAAACCAACAATTTTAGGGAAATAATAGTAAGGCTGGATTCCGGCAACTGTGTACTAAGCAGATAAAAGTAAATTTATTTTTCTCCTACTAAAATCCCAAATATTGCGATTAGTAGCGAAAAATAATTGACGATTTGTTTACATATGTGAATTTAAAAAGGCTTCGTAATACCACAGTAAAAAATTTCTGGAAAAAAAACCCGATTTCGATAAAAACTAGTGTTTGAAGTGACAAAAATAAGTAAGGTTATTTACAATTCGAAACAGTCATACTGGTAGAACTCTGGCCGTTATTTTTGCGACGTTGCCAAATTAAAAAATAGTTCTACAAACTGAGGACTGATAGGAACTGGATTTTTAAGCGGTTGAAGCGGATCTAGTTCCTTTCGCGGTCCTTAGAAACAGATATGATGTACACGGATAGTGATGATAATACGTCAGAAGGCAAGAAGAGAAAAGATAGAGGGTCAACTTCACCTTTCTAGCAGAGCAAAAAACTGCCAGAACCCCAAGCAAAAGAAAACCAAAGGAAGAAGATTCAGTGGATTTGGACGACGTTATGAGCATGTTCAAGAAGATGATGGCGGAACTGAAAGAAATCAGGAATGAAAATAAGGAATATAGAGAAGAGATGATAGCGCTGAAAAAAGAAAATATAAAGATAAATCAAGAATTGGAAGAAACAAAAAACAAATTAACCCAGGTCGAAAACAAAGTAGAAAGAATTGAAAAACAGATGAAAAGAAATAACATAGTAATTACGGGTCTACCAATAAACACAACAGATGAAACACTCTTAAAAAATAATGTAAAAGATTTTATACAAAAGCACCTAAAAGAGGATGTCGAAATAGAATCTGCAATGAAGTTAAAAAACAATATATGTCTGATACAAATGAAGGATTATATCGAAAAAACTAAGGCAATGACAGAAAAAAACAAACTCAGATTTCTTACTGGAGAAAAGATCTTCATCAACGATGACCTGACCGAAAAAAAAAGACACATGAGGCAGGAAATCGTAAATAAAGGCAAGGAATTAAGAGATGAAGGTAGAAATGTGAAGATAGGGTACAAAAAACTAACTGTGGATGGCATAAAATGGGTATGGGCCGGAAATGGTACTTTTAAACAAGAAAATTCTATGTATCATTTGTATGCAAACCCTACAATAACAAAAGTGGTAAAAAAACGTAGACTAGAATGGCTCGGTCATCTAGAAAGAATGCAAGGTGATAGACTAGTCAAGAATATTGCTTGGAGAGTACCTGAGGGCAAAAAAGAGAGGAAGACCAAGAAAGAAATGGAGAGATGTAGTGATGGAAGATGTCAGAGAGATGGGAATCAGAGATTGGAAGCTGTTAACTAAGAATAGAAAACGATGGAAATTATCCATCCAGCAATGGGCCTAAAAGGCCTGTTAACGCTGTACATACATACAATAGTAAGGCTTTTTAAAGACATAGTTTTAAATAGAAACAAAGCTTGTAATGCTATAGCTTTAATATACTTTAGCTGAATTGTATTTAAACTAATTGACAAAGTTTTGCAGCTGCAAAATTGGAAGATTGGGTGCTTTTTGCAAGCATCAAGCTGCGATTGCACACTCTTTTAATATATTTTTACAACGTCCAGCTACTACTCCTGAAGATCGATACGACGTAGCTAAATTAGCTTTTGGCGAAAAAGTTCAACATTATATATTAGAGAATATATTATTTTAAACAAAAATGAAACATTGTTAGGTTTGTTCGGGCTGTTAGGCCGTTGTCTTCTGAGATCAGTTCTCGCCGTTTCGCTAACACTAGGGGTTGGCATCTTCTGGAGATGTTAGTGCTTCCCTTGTAAGCTGATACTGACGCCGCGTTGTACTACGGAGGCCATATTTATATTTTCTACTCGCCTCCCCTCCACTGGTTTCGGCATGAGGAGGCGTGTTGTCGTTATGTAGTAGCTTTTTTTCTTCGTGTTTTTGCGGGGTGTTTGTGGATTTTAATATTGGTATCCATGTTTTGTTGATTTTAAGTCCTTCTATCCGATTAAAATTATTTGGGTGCTTATATATTTCCACCGCTTGCCGATACAACCGTGGGTAGTACTGTGATGTTTCATCCAGCACCTGCGTTTCTTCGAACAGTATGCGATGTTCTCCGCTTCCCAAAGCGTGTTCGTCAACGGCAGATTTGTCAATATGTCCTAAACGACAATGGCTTTGATGTTCGTTTATCCTTGTGTTTGTTTATCTTTTCGTGGTTCCCACATATACCATTCCACATGTACATGATATTCGGTATACTCTGGCCGTTGCTAATGCGTCGCGTTTGTCCTTCACCGATCTTAAACAGTCCTTGATTTTCTTTGTAGGCTTGAAAATGGTCTTCACATTGGCTTTTTTAAGTATTCGCCCAATTCTGTCCGTTACCCCGATATATAGGGCAAGAACGCTTTGCCTATACATTATATTTCTTCGTCCTTTCTTCTAGAGACGTTGTTCATCGTATTTCTCTTCGGGTATAACCATTAGAGCTGAGCGCTTTTTCAATATGAAGACGTTCACTTTGTAGATACTGTGGTTCACAAATTCTCTTCGCCCTCTCCGCCAGAGTTTTGATGATACCTTGTTTTTGGCCAGGATGATGATTTAAGTTCCTTTTTTCTTTTGTAGATTTTATTAATACGCTACAAGATAAAAATGTTATATTTGGAACTGATTCATCAACGTTAAAATTATTGCACGTAAGATTATCCCATATTAAAACAAAAACAGCGTGGAAAAGTTTTTTAAATACGGCAGGAAGTTCCTCGGCAAGGAGATTTAGACACAAGACCAATGTAAGAGTGCAACCAACTTCAAACAGCCGACGAAACTTGGGAGTTACTAGTTGGTCAAAAAGATTACAATTTGGACGACTACCTAAAGATGAACCTTCCTAAAAAAAGATTAAAGGGGCGTCACAATATTTCCTTCAATATCGCAACAAATGCAACTAAACATACCGAAGGACATTGAATTTCGACAAAATATTTCATTTTAAACATTTAACATTTTTTAAAATTGATTTAAATATATTTTTTTATTTCCTATTGCATTGTTTTACTTTTCTTTAATCATACATTACAAATATTTTAAAATCAGGTCTCCAGGCAAAGTAGACGATTGCATTTCTTTTCAATTTGACCTCTACCATTCTACTACACGTGGTTTAAGGATTCACCGCTCATCAGAAATACTCATCAGAAATACTGGTAGTTCGTAATGAAATGAAATGCCCTTCATCTATATGCCCGTTATAGTACTATAACCTGCCTGAGTAGCGACCTCTACATGGAGCAACAAGAAGTCAGAAGACTAACATTTCCAATAAGCTTGTATTTGAAGTTCACCTAATTCACCATTGAAGAGAAGTCTCCTGACTTCTTGTTGGTTCATATAGAGGTCGTTACTAGCGTAGTCAGACATGTTATGTTACTATTACAGCCATATACTTCTTTTGACGGAAAATATTGAATTTCACTTTTAGAGCTTCTGTATCAGTCACTCTGATGAATCCTGGCAGGATGAAATATGTATAAGCGAATATACAGTGGCTGTATACGTGAAAGAAATCAAATCTTAACTGTATTTTCCTTATTTCTATTTACTCTTGAAATGTACTAACTGAGTACCAAAAACCAGTTCACCAAAGATTTTTGCTTAGATGAGTAGATATATTGTGGAATGCAATTTTTAAATTCCCCATGTTGTTCTCTTCATCTTTTCATCGTCTGTTATGTCTTGAAATTAATAGAAGCCACATATTTAAGCAAAAATCTGAAGTTTGATTTCGTCAACCAGAAATTTTCGGATTTCTACTTTGTGGTTTTATTCTCAGATGTAGCTGTAGCGTGTTTATTGAAGTTATTTCATTGTTACTTCTCTTGACGGAAAAGATTTGTATTCACTTCAGAGGCACTCTATTAACTGTCTTTTCTCTCTCTCTCTCTCTCTCTCTATCTCTCTCTCTCTCTCCCTCTGAATATATATAAAATTCCATAATTTCTCTATACATTTTTTCTATATTTGATTACAGATCTATCGAACTTCAGGTTGTAAGTTCAGTATCGCCCTGTATATAATAGAATTAATAGATGTTAAACACTTTAAACGAAAGCTAAATACTAGCTACAAAAACACAGATTCTCAGGGTTATAAATACCCAAAAATTATCTCAAAATCAATTATTTCAAAAGCCAAACTCTCACCTCTTCCGTTTTAGATCTAATTCCCTCATCGGTAGCAGTAACTACCGCCCTAGGATTATCTTTGTCGGTGGCTTTGGCAAATACCGCTACTGTAGGAAGAGCCGAATCAACAATACCGATCGCTTCGTATCCTACATCTGGTCCCAGATCTGACCAGAACATGCTCTGGTGTAAGTAAGGCTTTCGACCTCCGGTCATATTTTCGCCTGCTAGTCGTCCTGTGACCACTGCGTGGTCGTGGTGTTCGAAACGTCGTCTCCCTAGTTTTGTATCGTAGAAGCAAGCACAATCGCCAGCCTAAAAAATATTTTTAATATAAAATTTCAGACAATATTAACATTCTGCCAATGTTGATACTGTATATCATAAAAAAACCTAGAATACATCAGATATTAAATTAGTTTAGTCACATACTCGGGTTGTCAAAAAATATTAATTTTATGAAAGAGTTAATAATTTCCAGAATTCATAGTTTTTAGCAAACCGCGTATATGACTGAAAAAATTTAATATTTTATGATTGTAATTTAGGTTTTAGAACATGCAGAACTTATTATAAAGCATAACTTTTTTCATAAAACTAAAAATAAAAAGGTTTCCATATGGTGCCGACTCAATTGGACACCTTATAATATACTTGTATTAAAGCTTGTATATCTTGTTTTACTGACACAATCTTACATAGGACAAATCAATCGAAGAATTCAAAACAGAATCTATGAACACTCCATTTCCGCTAGCAAGTCCGGTTCAGTTTCAGTTCTAGGCCAACATCATCTCCATACAGGTCTTAAAAATAATTTTGAAAATTACAGAACTCTAGACCCCATGCGTTTCTTTAAACAAAGAATTATCCGAGATATCAATGTGATCGAAAAAAAGCCCTCCCCGCTGCCGGGTACCTCATAATAACGGTTATACGGTTAATGGTTATAAAAAGCTATAAAATATGAAATCTTATTCTCACCTCACACAATCCCTCCTCACATTATCCTCATCGATGAAGACTTCCTGACAGTACACATTCACCTCAACAAAAACACAATACTAACAGTAGTCTCTTATTACAAACACACAAATCAGCCTCTCTCACAAACATTGCTTAAATATGTATCCAGCCTAAATAAGGCTATCATCGTGGGGGACTTTAACGCCAGGCACAGTCAATTTGGCGACACGGTCACAAAACGTGCAGGCAATCTCCTATTTGACCTTCTCCTAGAACTTCCCATCTACGTTCTTTAATCACCAGGGCACATCCTCCGTTGATCACGTTGCATGTACATACGACGCGATCGATGTTCTTGATGATGAGTACATCCCTGGAGATTTAAATATATTGGACCACCTTCCCATATTAGTAAGAGAACAGATACTAAATCCAATTCCACATCAAAATCTCTTAAACAGAAAGAGACTACTTACACGCCGACTGGAACCGTTATAACCACTTTTTAAATAATAATATCCCACAGTTAGGTAACCTAAACACCCAAATTGATATCGACAATGGTATCACGGCACTACAAGAACTATTCAATCAAGCAATTGATATTCAGTCCCTAATAAGGATATAAATACCTCTCGACCGCCACTTCAACCTCATATAATCAACAAAATCAAACAAAAAAGATGCCTACTACGTCAATTCTATGAAACCCGTGATCCAATGGTTAAAACAGAAAATAACCGCATTTCGGCTCAGATCAACTTTATCATCCAGCACAACTTAATTCAAGGTGCTTAAGACGAGATCAATATAATTATTTACGGGAGGCCTATGTTCAGCAGCAGATTCAAAACGGTTATTAAAGATGATGACTATTATAAGAAATTTTGAAAAAAAAAATTCCTTTTACCAAATTTGGCTCTTATTATAGAGCCATCATATTATAGGCTCTTATTATTATTACACTTACAATGTAAACATCGCTTCTTGCTTGTAATTCTGTATTAACTAAAAATCCACCTAATTCCGGATCAACCTCCAAGTCAGATTCTTCGGCTAGATCAGTATTTGGCTCGACCCCCATTGCAACGATAGCACAATCAACATGCAAAGTTGAATTATCGTTTAATGTTAAAATCAGTCCTTTCTTTCCGTCACTTTTCACGCCTATTACTTCTGTATGATGTCGCACCTTAAAAATATTACAAAAAAAAAATAAAAATTGTTATTATATAAATATCAAATAAATAAATATATTCATTTAAAAAAAAGCAAATGCTGAGCACTCGAAATAAAATCAAAGGTCAAATAAAAGAAAGATTTGTGGAAAAGGTAGTTGTGTGTGTGTGGTTGGAATATTGACTGCGAAACCTATGGTTTCATTCGCCTAATCATGTTTGACTTTGATTCTTAACAATGATTAAAATGAAAGCTATTAATATTTAAAATTTACATTATTAATATTCTTAAAACAATATCACTACGTTAAAAATTCTACATTATACAATTGGTAAACTTACAAACATCATATTTTTTATTTATTATTATTTTTTTTTTAAATTTTATACAATTTTGTATACAATTTTCTAGTAGAAGGTATCCAGTTTCGTATCCATGCATCCAGTGCCCAGTGGTTGTTTATCCAGTATTATCCAATTCCGCAAGCAGTGTTTTTTTTTTATTTATTTTATTTTTTTTTTGTTTTATTATTTTTTTTTTTAAAACAATATTTTTTCTGTATTTCGTTTTATTAATATTGTCTAATATATATATATATATATATTTTTTTTTTATTGTTGAAATGTTTTTTTTTTTTTTTTTTTTTTCATATACAAGTTTTGGTATACATTGGTCTTTATAAATTATTGTTTCATATTCTTATTTTTAAACTGCTTATGTATTGATACAGCAACTTATAAACTTCTAAATTGTTAGAGACTATTAACCCATAAAGATTGATACTAAAATTTTTATTTTCATAATGGTTTCCATAAAAACGTTGGTCTTTATTCTATTTTTACTACAATTTAATATCATATGTTCTAGTGTGCCATATTCTCCACATTCGCAGTTTGGGGAATTTACAATTTTTAATTTAAATAAGTGAGATGGTGCTAGGGCACAGAATAATAAACAAACAGAATACCCACTCTCCACGGAAAATTAAGTACGCGCATCTCCTCCGCGCAGACGTTCCGCCATGTTTTAGGAGGATTTTAAAGAAATTAGTGTTGTTTATGTGGTGTGTATGGAAAAATTAACCAGGTTTATTTGACTTACGGCAATCATAGACATACTATACAATTATATTAACATTGTTAAATATAATAACATAAATATAATATAATTAAACATAAATATAAACAATTACATAACCACACAAATCATATGTCTGTGTCCTCCTAAAACATGGCGCGCGTGCTGAAAAACTTCAAAGGCGGCATCTGAGAGTGGCCCTTCTGATTGCTTATTATTCTGTGGCTAGGGAATGATTGAATCGAATTCTACAGATAATTCTGATTGCATCTTTTTTTGTTATAAAATTACAGAACCATGGTTTGGTAGGAATTTTCGGCTGAATGCCTTTATAAAAAAGTCCCTTGGTGGAATGATCATATTTATTCATCCATTCCTGCCTAATTATATTTTTTGAAATAATATAAAGGTCTTCAGGAACTAATGAATAATTTACAACAGTATCGGAATCTAATGCTTCCTTGGCCAGTATGTCTACTTTTTCATTGTGGATGATCCCACAATGAGCTTTAACCCAAACAAACTTAACTATTTTTCCTTCCTCATACAAGTTTTTAAAATTAATTAATATATTTTGTAAGATATAATTAATATTAATATTAGTAGATATGTTTGAAAGTTTATGTAAAACACTTTTACAATCTGATATTATTAAAAAAAATTTTTTATTAAATAATGTATTTTTAATATATTTGAATGCTTCTAATATAGCGAGTTGTTCAGCTGAATAACTTGAAAATTCACTCGGAAGTTTTTTGCCTCGAAATAGTCTCGTGTAGGGTCCCAAAATGCACAGGACGTTTTATCGTCTTTTTTTGATGCATCTGTAAATATGATATGATAATTTTTAAAATCATTTTCTATGTCTGAATTAAACATCAGATTTCTCAACGACATGGGGTAATTAGAATAATCTCTTAGAAAACGTATGTCTATTTCAGGCACATCAGTTAAGTTTGTTTGGTATATCGGTAACAGTTCGTTTTTATACATATTGTCTTTATATTGTAAGCAGCCTTGATATGATTTACATAAAACCAGTGATTCTTTTTTCTGCCAGTACTTATTAGTTAAATCCATTATAAAAAGGTTGTGAACTTTATTAACTAGACTACTATTTTTAGATGAAATTTTGCACAAAAATTTATTACAGAGATATTTTCTTCTTAGCTCTAAAGGCATTTCACAACATTCTACTTGAAGATTTGAAATTGGTGTACTTTTAAAGGCTCCAAGGGATAATCTTAGACATTTATTCACTAAATTATCTAACTTTTTTAGGTTACTGGAGGCTGCTTGAGAGTATAGAAAGCATCCGTAATCCAGAATTGATCTAATAAATGACCTGTATAATAACAGAGACATTTCTGAATCGGCTCCCCAACTGTAACAACTTACAGCTCTTAATATATTTAATCCTTTCTCGGTTTTTTTTAATATTCTTTCTATGTGCTCTTTCCAGATTAATTTTCTATCAATTGTTACTCCTAGGTATGTTACGTGGGAGATGACGGGAAAACTATGGTCTTGTAAAATAAGCTGATTGGGAATAGTTCGTTTCCGGGTGAATATACATGCTTTTGATTTCGTGAGTGAAATGTTTAAACTTTTCTCGTGACACCATTGGTTAAATCGAAGAAAAAATTGATTTAAAGAACTGTAACCAGATTCAAAATCACAATTATCAATGTAAATGCATATATCGTCAGCATATTCCAGTATCTTAATATCCCTGAATTCGTCTGTTAGCTTTTCTAGGTCAAAGGTATAGATTGTATACAATATAGGACTTAAAACGCTACCCTGAGGTAATCCCAGACTTGTTGTTCTTGTATCTAAAATTTCCTCATTTATTTTAAGGTTAATTATGCGATTACGATATAATTTTATTATTTTTCTAGAAAATTCACAACTAAAACCAATTCGCACCATTTGTTGATGTAGAATTCCTAGATTTACTTTATCGTAGGCTCCCTGAATATCCATAAACAACGCTATGGTAGAACGATTTAATGAGAATGAGATATTAATGTCAGTGACTAGATGAGTAACATTTTCTATAGTGGAATGAGCTTTTCAAACTGATATTTTGGTAGTTTGAGATTGGATTCTAGCCAATATTCCATTCTTGTTTTGAGCATTCGCTCGAATGTTTTAAGTACACATGATGCCAGTGATATACCTCTGTATGATTCTGCTAGATTTGAATCTTTTTGCGGTTTTAACATTGGAATCATAATGTATTTCTTCCAATCTTCTGGATACTGCGAGGTTTCCCATATATTATTTATTAGTTCTAACAAAGTAATTTTGCATGATAACGGAAGGTTGTATAACATTATATAATGAATGTTGTCGATACCAGGAGCCGTATTTTTGTGCTTTTTAATACTGCTCTGGAATTCTTTGAGACTAAATTTCTTTAACAGACTGTCCATTGCAATTTTATTGATATTTTCTACTTGAGGAGGGTAAACTGCTTCTTCTTCTTCAACCCATGGTGGCGTGACTTGGTTTATAAAGGTTGTTGTCCATTCTCCTGCTACTACCTTACTGACTGGTTCTTTACAATTATTTTTTAATTTTCTAACCTCTGTCCATATTTGTGAGATCGGTGTATTTTTATTTATTGAAGTACAAAAATTTCTCCAAGATTCTTTTTTGCGCTTTTTTATTAGTTTTTTACACAAAGCCATTGTTCTTTGTAGACAAATATAATTTTCTGCATTTGAGTTTTGTTTAAAACGCAAAAGAGCATCTTTTTGATTTTTCATTAATATATCACATTCTTCATTCCACCAATGTTTATTAAATTTCGAGTTGATCACTTTTTTCTTTTTGGGTATTGAATTTTCTGCTGCTTTGTTTAATTCTGCTATAAATTTATCATATCGGTTTATATTATTATGATTATTACTGTGTTCAATATTTTCAGAAAAAAGTGACCAATTTGCTTTGTTTAAATTCCATCTGTTTTGATTTGTTTTAATAATATAATTATTACTTTTGATTTCTATTAATATGGGAAAATGATTAGATCCTAAAGTATTTATTTTTGTTTGCCAATTGCATAATGTAACCAAATCAGGCGATACAATAGACAGGTCTATTGCCGATTTATTCTTTTGATTTAATGAAGGAATGAGCGTTTCCGCGCCATTGTTAAGAAAAACTAGATTGGTATTTTCAATTGCTGAAAGTAAATTAATTACTGCTCTATCAGTAGAAAAGGTAGTTGAAATCCAAGTTAAAGAATTTACTATTTTTACTGGGAATACGTCACAATTTTACTTCAAAATAAGTTTATTGTGTATTTCCGGTTTCGATTTCCAGTTCGGAAATCGTTCTCAAAATATAAATTTTGAACGATTTCTCAAAAGGAAGTCGAAAAAATTGTTCAGATGACCACCACCAACTGATTGATTGTTCAGATGACCTCTTTGACTTTTGAATAAATATTTTTTAAATTTAATTTTCTTTTAAAAATTTGAAAATCGGTAAATGTCAATTTGAAAAAGTTACTTGACAGTTCAATGATCTTTCTTTATCATTATAACATCAACTCGTGATATAAATTACTGTGTTATATTTGAATGGTTTTTAAATTAGAAGCGACTTACCCGCACACCTTCACCTTTTACTTTCTCAGTCGTCCAAAGAGAAAGATATTCCGGTAATATTTTACCCATATTTCCACCCTCTTTAAAAAGTTGATATATCTTTCTAGGATCTTTTGTATCTGAAAAAAGTATACATATAGTTAGTTAATTGTAAGTTTTGAGAGGTTTATGACATGATATTATAAGTAGTAAAACACTCAAATTAGTTTTACCCATTTCCACAATATTTCATATTTAATATTACGCTTATCACTATCTTATCCCACATAAGGTAATGGTCCAATGTCTTCATGATCTGCTACATTTGTTGTTTTTAACTGCTTAAAAAAGTTATGATGTACAGGCTGTATAAAAGGCAAAAGATCCAACATGTCTTGCTTCAGGTATAATCGGAAATGCCACATTCAGGACATTATATTTCAACTTCATCGATCACCACATCGATTCACGTCATCGATCATCTATATCTTCGTTATTTCAAATTTTAAACCCTCCGTTACTTGAGCGGGGTGTTGTAACACCGCATGCCCATATAGCTGTTAACGTTTTCTATGAGCTGCCTATTTTCGTCGTCTCTACCACCTGGAAGAATCTGATCAGTGTACTGTTAGTGGTTGTATCGTAAGCACATGCTTGGGATGTTGCGAACACCCCACGAGTAGTAGAGTTATATTTTGTTCATCGATATTTATTTTTTGTCGGTAAGTATATTTATTCTTTTTACACTTGCATGGAAGTCTGAACATGTATTGTGTCTATATAATATTGTCAATATTACTTTTTAGGAAAAATGGGCGAATATGTTACATATAGCGCGATTACTCAAACTATTTGATGAATGTATGAGCAATGACGAAATACCATCAGAAGAAGAATATCCTTCAGAACAAGAAAGGGACGGAAATCGTTTTTACCTTGGGAAAGACAAAGTTACTAAATGGTCAAAGGAGAAGAGTCGCGAGCAGGTGAGAACTAGAAGCTATAATCTAATTTCCCATCTACCAGGAACAATAAATGTAGCGAGAAACTAAGTCCGTCATTGAATGTTTTAATTTGTTTATAACTGAAGACACAATCAAAGACGTTACAGAAGGTACCAATATATTTATCAATAAACTCTTCGCTAATTTCAAACGTGAAAGAGACAGCAAAGAATCCAATGACATAGAAATTTGTGCTTTAGTTGGGTTACTAATATTATCTGGCATTTGTAAATCCAGCCATAGTAATAAGATTTGAGGCATATTTCAAGGCTTGGAATTAAAACGTTTGATAAATCTAAATCGTTTTTATTTTCTCATAAAATGTCTAAGGTTTAACAATATAAATACCCTATAACGATGAACATAGTAAATGTTGTTTGTTTCGTCATAAGGACAATGTATTAATTTTTTCTCTATACCGATATCGTTTTCTCTTTATAGGGATGACTTTTGGACGTTCAATAGTCAATTCAATTCACGACTTCTCACTTCCAGTTTCAGTTGTGTCCCAGAGGGTAGGAACAAGTTGCGGAAACCTTAGCACGACGATTTAGAACGCGCTATGCTTCAGTGGTTCCAGCAGCAGCTTATGAACCATACTCCACTTTCTGGGTCTGTGGTCAGGACAAAAGCTGAGTCTTTTTGAGAATTGAGAATTTTAAGACTTCTGATGGTTGGCTAAGCAAGTGGAAGCTGCGGCACAAAATCAACTACGGGTAGATCAGCAGATAGGCTCGTGATGTTAACAAAAACGTAACAAATGATAGGCTAGAAAACGTATGAACTGGACTGAAGGCACGATATGCGTCAGATATACGACGTTTTCAATGCTGATGAGACTGGATTGTTTTTTAAAATGACACCAAAGAGAACTTGAAAATTTAAATCGGAAAAGGGCGTTGATGAAAAGCTCTCTACGATTTTAGTGGCCGCTAACATAACAGGTTCAGTGAAGAGAAAATTGTTAGTGATAGTGAAGTCGAAAAAACCACCTTGCTTTTGACCTGCGACCTACAGACCAAACAAGAGAGCTTGGATTACTTCTGAAATTTTTGAAGAAATGAGATGTCCGCCGTAAAGGGAAAAAATTCTTCTGCTTGTAGACAATTGTCCTGCTCATCCTGTATTGTGCGACCTTTAAAATATTAAACTTTGTTTCCTGTCAGCAAAACAATGATTGTCCTTCGTCCCATGGACCACAATGTCTCAAGAGTTTGAAAAGCCATTAAAGGAGAAGACTTTTGATGGAATCGGTTGAGAACAATGGCGATTTCAAACTAAACGTCTTGACTGGATGGCTGGAAGATCAAGGATTGACTGAGAATAAGGATGACCTGCCGTTAACTGTTTGGGCCAGTAAGTTTGAACTTCCTATCACCTACTACCGGAAGAGCTTGAATAAAAATGTAGCTACAGCATCTGAACTTCCTGACGAGGACATCCTACAAGTAGTTCGTATAGAAGAAAACGCAGAGCCAAAACAAGCTCTGACCCCTTAGCAGAAATTGGATACGGCAAAAGTATTTCATCGACCAGGAAGACGATATGAGTGGTGTGAAAGATGCTATGCGTCTTCAGGACAAGGTCAGGTCAGTTCTGTGGAAAGGTAAAAGGAACAGACCAAGGTGACAGACTTTTTCGTTAATGTAAGCTAAATATAGGATATAAACTTTTTTTTCATACCTTGATGAAAATACTGCACAGTACCATATTATTTTCTTGCTGTACAGTATACATTTTTTAATTGTGCAGTCTTTTTTTATACTATATTGCTTATATCATGCTTTAATAAATCTATGCTATGTACACTATATACAGTGTTAATTCATTTATAATCATTCTGTCATTCATCATCAATCAATTTTTTAAATTCCAATATGTTATTTAGCATAGTATTATTATTAGAGTAACGATTTTTGTTATTCTCTGTATAACGATCTCTCCTTATAACGATGAAAATTCTCGGTGCCTTGCATATCGTTATAGAGAGAGAGGACTGTAGTTCAACAATAATTGCCTCGCAAATTATTCGCTTGGCGAATTCGCAACCACTGATGAACAACTTTTGAATTTTAGGGATAGATGCTCTTTTCGAGAGTATCTACCAAACAAGCCGGCACGATATGGCCTCAAGATTTTCGCTATATGTCTCACAAATTATCGTTAGTGGGTACACTCAGGAAAAAAAATAAAGAGATACCTCCATGCTTTGTCACTAACAAGGTACCTGGGCAATCTCTATTCGGATTCCACTAAAAAATACCAATGACACTCGGTTCATACTGCCCAAAGCAAAATAAAAATGTAATCTTATTGTCAACTATACACATGAAAAACAATACTGTGGATGAAGTTTCTCCGAATGTGAATAAGCCTGACATAATATTATTTTAAAGTAAGATCAAGAGTGGGGTTGATAGTGTAGACCAAAAATACCAGACATATAATGTGTCAAGAATTTGTCGTCGTTGGCCCTTGAGGATATTTTATCATTTGCTAAATACAGCAGCAATTAATTCCCACATCGTTTATTTCTCTAATAATCCTACTAAAAAGATCCCAGATCCAAGTTTCTAGAAGCGATTGGACGTACTCTGGTGCAACCACAGATGGAAGTTAAGTCACAAGTAAAATCTCTTCCAAACTCTCTGAAAAGAGTCCTAGGTAATGCAGCAACAACCAGTGACAACATGCCTATAAAAAAAGGCACGATGCACTATATGTCCACGAGCAAAAGACATTAAATGTAAGAGTTGTTGCAAAATGTGCAATAAAAATATGTGCCTAAGCACAGCCACCTTTACTTCCAAGCCATGAAGTAAAAAAGGCAACACCGTATTCTATGACGTCGGTAGTCCGATAATCAGCTGTAAGGTCTACCAGAATATTAAACTAATTTGAATTTTAGGAAACTGATATTTTGAAAACTTCAATTCATTACAGAAATATTTTTAGGGAAATTAAATTAATAAAACCTTATATATACCTAGTAAATATATATAAAGTTTTATTATTATTTAGGTTATATTATCAATAAAATAATCACTAGAGTAAAATTTATTGCACTTAAAATACAGTGTCAAACAGTTAATCTTACAATCAAATACAGTCAAGAATCTCTAGAAATTTTAAAACACAAAAACTTAGTGTAACTATTATGATTAAAAAATTCATCCTAAGAAATCAGACACAATATAAATATGGTTCTAAATTAATCTGATTGAAAATTAAATATTGTACTATTTACTTATAACTTTTGTTGAATTTTCATACTTAGATATACAAAAGTAGCAATTTTAAATATGAATAGGTTTGTTGTCATATAGACCAAGTTAAAAGAGGTATACATGAAAAATGTGTTGAATGTAACATACCATTTATAACTTGTATATCGATTTAAAATAGCCTATATTCTCAAAAGATTTTTGAATGTAATACTCAAATTTGTTATCACTTATCTAAAAAGCAGATCTAAATGAGAAAGTAAGTTCTCTAATTGTGACCATCTTGTTAATTTACTGTATTGTAAAATCCATTTCAAATCATTACCACTTAATCTATTCTTACCTACATTGATGATTACACTAAAATTACTGCTAACTATTACACTACATATTATACAAATATTATCACACTTGTGTCCCAACTGATTAATGTTTAATACATAGAAATATACACAGTCACTTGTAATTTTACTTGTCCAGTTTTTCAATGGGATATTATTGTCTACGTCTAATTGACATAATTATGTTATCTCTTGTTCCCTCTTCTTATGCAAAAAGTTTCTTCTGTCTTCGGGATTCCTTCTTTCTAAAGTAGTACGAAGTAGTTTAGTACGATGAAAAGTTACATATGATGGTACTTCAGGAAATATATTAGGAACTGCATTGCCTTTTAATTTGGGAAATATTAACTTTTCAATGTGTACATTTCCATCTTTATCTTCTCATTGTTCAGTTCGCTGAATATCATCTTCATGAAAATGTTTGGCACATACTACGGAAGATTTGGTAATTGTACAGCCTTATCTATGAATAGAGCATAACCCAGTATACCTTCTTTGGGGATCTTTGGGAAACAAAAACGTACTTTCTGCCTGTTTCGTTTTTAAAGTACTGGCATAATTGGTTTTGCAACCAGGTACACAACAATGCCAGAGAATCTGTAACAAAAAAACAAAAGTATTATTATTGTTGTTTTTAGTTTACATATTTTGTAACAAGAAGCAAAAGTATTATTATTTTCAGTTTGTTTTGTAGGTTATATTTATACTTGCCTTTTAAATTGTCGTTAAAAATCTTCTAAAATTTCTAAATTTAATGAAATTTCACTTATATTAATATTTTCTAATTGATGTAAACACAATTTACAAATAAAACATTCGAATAAAGTTAAAAAAACAATAAATTCAACAAACTTTACAAGCCTTCCTATATGAAATGTTAAACCAAAACAAACCACAGTCGGACTACCACGCGTTGTTGCCAAATTTCTACTTCATGGCTTGGAAGTAAAGGTGGCTGTGGCCTAAGCCATATGAACACAATATGTGATGTATATTACCGAGGCCAGTGAATTTATTCCAAGTTTGTTTATTCTTCTTCATATATAATAAAAAGTTTTTGACTTCACCTGTTTTACTTTATTTTTTTATTTTTTTTAGTTCTTTCTCAGTTGTACGCAAATTTATTTCTAAACTCTATGTTTATAAAATTCAACGACTACATTATGTAGAATGTAATATTTGTTGAAATAAATATATTTATTTTGTGACAAATTGTTAACATTATATACCTGAAATATAAAAACAGTTCGAGTTTTATTACGTTAAACAAAAAGTAAGATAAAATAATGGGGTGCTGCTGACACCCCGCGAGTTGACACGTTTCTGAAATAGGCGCGATCAATGAAGGGTTAACATAGCCTAATTAATTTTAATTAAGCCATTAATTTTAATCAAAACTTGTCGCGCTACACCCTGTATAATATCAAACGAATATGAATGCTTTGATTATGAGCGCCTCTATCGGCCGAGTTACAAATCTTGTTTTGAAACGGCTGTCATCGTGTCCATAACCATAAAAGATAACTTTATAGAAGCCAGATATGCGTGTATACAACACATACAGTCGCCTGAAAAAAAAATCCGATTGACTCATAAGCACTTTGCAATGAGTAATGGATAATAACATTGTAATTATCTTATCAGGAATGAATCATGACTCAGCAAAAACCATAACAACCCTGTTTTAATTTGAGTAATCAACAACATTATTTGTTTTGACTGAGATTTTTTATTGGATTGATAATAAGGAAATAGTGAGTTATGGTCTGATCGGAAAAAATACAAAATATTCAAATTAACTTCAATGACATAGAAAATGCAAAAAAATATAACCAAAAATATATTTAAATTATATATTGTACTTATTTTAAAACTATTTAACTATTTCGAGCAATAATAAATTTCTTTACTTACCTTTTGAAGCTTTCCTTGCCATGGCACACGCCAACTCGCTACCCAAAAATCCACCTCCAATGATGGCTACAGCCTGTGAGTGCTCAAACAGCTCGCTACATTCTTCGAAGTCTAAGATATCCCTGTAAGTCATTATCAAATCTTTCAACTTTTCGTCCTCTTGGGCTGCCTTAAATACTGGCGGAATCTTCGGTTTAGCACCTAGAGAAAAAATAAATTAATTAGGAATTTGAAAAAGATTATTATGAAGAAATATTTAGTTTCAATGAACAAATATTATAAGAGTTCGACAGGGATATGTGCTCTCTCCGTTTTTGTTTAAGAGCGTAGGCGCAAAATTTCGGACCAATGCTTTTTAAATGCAATCATTTTTTTCGAATCCTGAAAACTTCTATAATGAAAGTCCCTGAAAACTTCTATAATGTTTATTTTAATTAGTTACAGGGGTGAAAAAGAAGAGAAAATTTAGTGTGATTTTTAATCTCAAATATCTCATTCAAAACAACTTTTTGTTATTCTAAGGGACTTTCGGCCCTCGGTAATAATGTAATCTTTCATTCTGCGTTTAAATTTTTCAAAAATATGTTTTAGTTTTTTCTGGATTCGAAAAAAATGAACACCATGTCCGCGGTAGTATTTTTCAAATCGAACATTCGCTATCTTTGTCATACAACGCACTCAGTCGAACTGAAAGTGGTGGCAAGGCTATTAAATGTTTGACACGGCTTCAGGAATATTTTGTGTTGCTTATTAACTAATATTAATAGTTTATTTAATAAATAATTAATTTAAGATGTGAAATTAATAAAAAATTATTTATTGTTTATTATTTATGGAAGATCCAAGTATCAGATTAAGTCATTAAAGTTCAATTTGGAGTTTGTTTTCATAATCGTAAATGCGAGTTTAGGAATAAACTAAAGTGCCCATGGTGTAGATATGAAAAGCTGCGAAGGTGGCGCATGACATATCTTGAGTGAATTATTAAATTTTTGACATCATATTATAATAAAGATGATTGTAAGAGTTTATAATTAAAGGTTTTGCTTTTCATGAAGAGGTTTAACGCTTTTTTTTTCATTTTACACATCAACATATTTTTTTGTTTATTTTTTTTTTTTAGAGTTTAATGATTAAAACACTTTTCAATGTTGTAGTTTTCAGTTGAATGTACCTTTATTGTTTATTTACAATATTTATCTTGGAATTGAAGCTATTTTCTTGTGGCATTGTAAATTAATTACTATTAAACTGGGAATAAGCCACAATTAAAGATAAAAAATACGTTTATTGACGTTTCAATTTCCACTTCGGAAATCGTTCTCAAAATACAAAAAGTAAATTAAACAAATTTTGTTTTTTGTTACATAGTGAAAAATTCTTCTAATAATTTAATTTTATCTGACTCATTTATATTGACAATTCAGACATACATTATGCATTTTAAAGTAGATGACTTTAAAATGATATTGCCAATATTGTTGAGTTGCGCTCCTGGAATTTTTCACTATGTAACAAAAAAACAAAATTTGTTTAATTTACTTTTTGTATTTTGAGAACGATTTCCGAAGTGGAAATTGAAACGTCAATAAACGTATTTTTTATCTTTAATTGTGGCTTATTCCCAGTTTAATAGTAATTAATTTATCTTGGACTATATCAATGGTACTTTTAAGACTTGAAACTTAAATTGTTTGTCTATTTATATAGAAGAAAGTGGTTACATAGACCTCTAGAAAATACATAGTATAATAACTAGGTACCTATATTGAAAGTAAAATAAAAACTAATAATTAAAAGATATGTTAATTGTAATAAATATTCTCTGCAATAAGATCCTATTAATCATAATTAATAACTTATCATTATTGGATTATTTCAAAAGTGTGTTTCTTGGGTTGTTTTACATGCTTTTTATTACCCTAAGAAATTATTACATATAAATGAGTGTTTACCAGAGGTAAAAACATCTGTGCTTGAAATTTTTGGGTGTCGATGCCCTACTATTATATTATTTATCTATGTCGATGCAGTTCTAGGAAAACGTGTCTGTCGACTCTCAAAACAGATGTATTATCGAAAGTGTTCGAAATAAATTTGCAATGGGAATGTATAAGCAATTTTAAAATTATTTTGAAATATACGACGGGCCTCATAAAGTGGACGTATCAAACGTATGTTTGTTTTTATGAAACTACCGTATTTTATTGCATTTTTTATACCTTAATATTGTAATTCCGGAGATATTTCGATTTTCCTTAAATTGTAGGGCATTAAAAAAAATAATAAGTCCTAAGCCAATGAATTTAGCCAAACAATATTTTAATTGTGGGTAAAGCGTAATAATAGAGAATACCGACGTATTTAAAGTTATATGCAAATACAAAGGGTGTCAATTATTTATAATTATTATTTTACTATTTGTTATATCACAATTATTTCACAATTAAATTTTGTTTTTTTTAGTTATATTAAATTTTTTATAATTTTTTCTTATTATTATTAGTTGTTTATCTTGGACAGCAATTAAATTGTAACGCAGAAAGTCACGGCGAAATTAGATCTAGTATAGAGCAGGCTAGAGCTGCTTTTAGAAGGATGTCCAAGGTGTTATGTAACAGAGACCTAAAATTGGCTTTGAAGAACCGCCTACTTCGCTGCTACGTGTTCTCGGTCTTACTTTATGATGTCGAGTCCTGGACTGTAAATAAAATCGATCTAAATCGCCTTGAGGGTTTCGAAATGTGGTGCTATAGAAGAATTTTAAAAGTTTCCTGGGTGGAGAAGATTCGAAACTCCACAATACTAGAATGTCTCAACAAGACTACCATAAAAAAAAAATCATAAAAAGCACCAAACATTGAAAACTGGAGTGTTTCGGACATGTAATGAGAGGGTTCCAAATAAAGGTTGCTACAAAATATCATGCAAGGAAAAATAGCAGGCAAACGCAGTCAAGGACGAAGAAGAACCTCATCGTTAAAGAACTTGCGAGATTGGTATGGTGTTAACACAAGCATGCTATTTAGGGTGGCAGTGAATAAAATTAAGATATCTATCATGGTAACCAACGTTCTGAACGCTCACTCTGCTAAAAAAAAAAGTACGCGCATCTCGTTCGCGCAGACGGAATCAGCCATGTTTTAGTCGGAATTGGTGCTGTTATATTGTGATATTTTATCTTATGTGCATAGATAAATTTACCCGGTTCAATTTATTTACGGCAACTACAGACATAATGTCCACTTTCACATATTTTTATTCGTACTTTTAGTTGAAGAATAGATTAAATTGTTTCAAATGTACTAAATTATCAATCTCTAAAAATTTAAATTACAGTTATGTCGTAGCTTGTCACAAATTTCTCAATTCGAGTCTATGTTTCCGTCTAAAACATGGCGTTTGCGTGCTGACAAACTTTAAAGGCGGCATCTGAGAGTGGGCATTCTGATTATTTATTATTATGTGTCTTAAGTGTACCAACGTGTTTCAACATTATTGACAATTCATGTTTTTACGAAATTCGTAGGCTTTAGTAAAAATACAGTATTTCCTTTAAACGCCATCTTGTATTTTGTATACTTAAGTTAATTCTAGGTATACCATTTTTCAACCTCACTTTTCGCTAATTATTTCTTGTATTAATATATCAATCTCCTGGAATATCAATATTTTCGGGGTCCACACGCAAAAGTAACAAAAGTTTTTATTTGCTACAAATAGCTGCCCTTAAATTTGATAGTAATATGCATGATTTCTCTTTAAAATATATCTGTCATCTTTCACTTCCATATACTTTAGTATCTTCCTATCTATTGCATCTTTAGGACATATATCTTTTACTGAAATTAGACATTTAATTTCGACAATCATATTATTACCTATGAGTCCATCTGGTGTTGCAGCTAAAAAAGGATATTCCTGATGAACATACATTCCTGATGGACAAATATCTAAAGAAGCATTTCGCTTAATTCTTATACTGCAATGGATTATTTTTCTATTCCATGGGCTGTGAATTGATTTCCTTTAAAAGCATTTAAAATAATGTCTTTGGCAACCTTTCTTTTGTCGGTTGTTACCTTTAACTTACAAATTTGACCAAAATTTGAGGCTGTCAGACGTTTCCTTCTTTCTGAATACCATTTACTTGAATTCCGTTGAGCTATTGTGTTATTGGATAATTGAATACATTCCTCATTATTCTTATGAAGTTTCGATCTAAATTTTTCTTTAATTTTCTCTAATTTAATGATCAATTTTTAACGTTTTTTGTGCTTGTGGCCCATAATCTTCATCTGGAGCATGGTTTTTTGTTATATATTTTATTAATTTTTGCAAATTTTTGTAATATAATTTTCTTCGCAATGTATTTTTGATACACACTGAACTAAATTTTTTTGTATATACGCCAGGACTTCTTTCTGTGATGCTTTTGTGAAGGGCTTGGTGATATTGACCTTTAGAGATGTACGACAAAGAAGCAGCGTGGCATCTCATTTCATAGGACCCCCGAGAGCTCTAATTTATTCTTTGACCTCCTAGAAACTTTGCTATTACATTATTATATTGTCCAGCATTGTTACTCATATTTTTCATAAGACTATTTGCATGGAATTTTAATCTTGCTGTACATAAGCTAATATCTTTCAAGAGGCTGTATTCTTTCATTGGTATTGTATAATCTGTTTCTGATAATTTTATGTCACAAAAATAGTCTGCGAAATTTGAATGATTTCCAAATACATGAAGATGACTATTAGATATATCATTTTTCAAAAACTTTATTTTTAAGTCACTTGGTTTATCTCACTGTTGATGGTATTCAGTTGTTCTTGTAACAGCAGTTCTTAAACTTAATACGTTATTTTTTAAAAGCTTTCGTAAGAAAATTGGTACCAGTTTTCCATCGGAACTACATCGTTTTGTTGATAACTCTTTTAATCTTGTAAAATAGTTTCTTAGGATGTGGTTACGACATTTAATTTTTTCAACAACATTATTACCATATGGTCTATTTTCTAAATTTTTTTTATGAACACTACTATCTCCATCGGCTATTAAAAATTTGTAAGTTACTCCATGCATGTATTTACTACATTTAAATCCATCTAGAATTATTTGACTTTCCATTGCAGTCGAAACTTTTGTCCAATTTTTATAACATACGTGTTCTTTATTTTCTCCGTATAATTTACAGTAGGAACAGTATTTGTTCCTAACTCCAAGATACAGAATTTTTTATAGTCTGTAACCAATACTATATTGGTTACAGATATTGGAATATATAAATAATCCAATATCCAATAATATATTGGATTTTATAAATGATATTTTCACTATATATTTACAAATCAGTTAGAAAAATACAAAAGTAATTAATTTAGCTTATGTAAAAAGTACTTATTTCAATTGAACTAACCGTCTATTTCTTCGTTTTACACTAATACATTTCTTGTGACAACGTCCCATATTTTAATTTAATAAAGATAATAAATAAAGAAATAAATAGTCTTTATAAATTAATTGAGCAATATCTATACAACACAGCTTTTCACAGATATACATGTGCTAAGCCGATTCTGGATAAACTAGATACCGACAGTTTTAAAGCCTTCATGCCAGTGAGAATTTTACTACACATAATTTGCTGTGTAAAGAAAGATAAACTAGGGATAGGACAGTCGGTGTCGATTCGCTCTGTCTAAAAATTGCGCCTACGCTCTTAATTTATATGTAGAAAAGATTTTCGGGGAAACTGTGGAAGACAGAACAGAGGGTATAATAGCCAACGAAGTAGTCAACAACAACTTAATATACGTTAATGACACAATTTTGCTAGCAATGGATAAAGATGATCAGTATGCGATGAGCAGTAACAGGCCGTAGTTAAGAAATGGGTTTGAAAGTTAATACAAATAAAACAAAAATATAGCTAACAATCTAACTGATATCAGGATAGATGGAGAAATAGTGGAGAGAGTACAATCATACAAATATTTAGACTGTTGGGAGAATGAAAATTGGGACTTATTTCAGGAAATCAAAAGCAGAATGCTGCAAGCTAGCACATGATTTAGGAAGATCTAAAAGATATTAACCAACAGAGCGCTAAGAATTTCCATAAGAATTCGGTTGTTACATCTTCCACTCCAGACTAGGAATGGAAGCAAGGAGTCTCACTGGAACAATGTATAAAAGAATTAAGGTTGTAGAGATGTGTGCGAACCGCCGAATCTTGAGGATATAGTAGTTGGATACAATAACGAATGAAACAGTTTTACAAGTGTAAACAATGAAAGAGAGGTTCTGAATACCATCAAAATAAGAAACTTCTCCCACATGATGAAAAATCCTAAATATCAATTCTTCTTCTTGGTGTGCCTGTCAGTAACGAATTTTGGCAATCATCATGGGAATATTTATCTCGTCTACAGCGGCACGAAAAAGCTCCACAGATGTTGTGTTGAACCAGGTTGTGAGTTCCTTTAACTAGGATGTTGTTTTTCATCCTGTACTTCGCTTTAAAAATATTTCTTCTTGAATATAAATTACTACATGTAATTATTCAGGGAAAACTAGAAGAGAAACGTGGTCATGGACGACAAAGAACATCCTGGCTCAAGAACCTCCGTCATTGGTATGTATGATACTATTTAGTTCTGTTTCGGACCTAAATAGTGTTGTACAAGCCATGAAGGACTCTTGTAACTAACATTAATTAACACAATAAAATAATAGAAATACTAAATTATCCCGAAACAATTAGGAATATTGCCAGAGGAGGTGAGGCAGTGTACTGTACTTTGTGTGCAGTAGTTAAATAATTTTTATCCCCGCTCTAGAAGGTATCAGCTGTACATACAGCTATCAGCTATACATCAGTGAAGTATTTTTTGAGCGGTAGTAGTTTTAAAAAACTCTTTAAACATTAATACATTCGCTATCAATACAAAACGAAGAACTTGTGCAGAAAAACGTGGTCAAGCAAGTTAAAGTGAAATCGTAAAAAATAACTCTATTTTTGAAGAAATTTGTTGATTCTAACGTTTTTCTTATCCTGAATTCCACAGAGTGAGCCGAAAGCTCTCAGGTAGTCTTGCAGCTAAGTTAACAGTACGACAATATTAAGCTTTCTCAGATTTCAAACTACTCATAGCACTTCCTTCAAACATTTCTGGCCACCTGTCGTTGTGAAAATGTTTTTTAGGTATATCATTTTATTCAAATCTCAGCTTGTGCCAAAAGTGTTTCTTGGAAAAAATTCAGTTTTAAAGGCGCTTTGCCAAATTAGACCATGTGGCTTAATTTATATCTTCTTCCTTTATCGTTCCCATCAAGGGAGGTTGGTAACTCCATTTCTAAAAGTTACTTTGTCCTTCGCGGCATGGAATAATTCTTCTACATCCATGTTTGTCCAGTCCCGAATATTTCACAGCCATGACTTTTTCTTTCTGCCTATTCCCTTTTTCCTATCTACTCTTCTATGAATTATGGCCTGCAATAGATTGTATTTTTCATTTCACGGTATGTGTCCAAGGTATGCAGTCTTGCATACTTTTATTGTTCTTAATAATTATTTGTCTCGAACAACCCTTCCAAGCATTTCACCGTTGGTTACTCTAACCGCCCATGGAATTCTCAGCATTCTCCGGCATATCAAAAATTAAAATTTTTCGATCTTAACTATTTTCGCTTTTAACGTCCATGTTTCTAACCTGTTCAGTAGTTGGAGCCAGACATAACATGCAAAAAACCTCAGTGCAGTATCAAATTTCTGTCACATAAGAATAGCCTGAATTTTAAGAACTCTGCCCTTGCCATTTCTATTTGTACCCTGATATTTATATTTTCCGCTCTCTATATATGTTGCCCCCACAGGGTTAGTTGTTCATTATTTGTAGGACTCTTTTATATTATCATAAACTTAACTTTTAGCTTAGCTCGTAAAGTTTGTAGTTCTTCCATCTTCTTCTTCAAGTGCCATCTCCGCGGCGGAGGTCGGCATTCTTCATAGCTATTCGGACTTTTGAGGCGGCTGTTCTGAAAAGTTCATTTGATGTACATCCATACTACTCTCTCAGGTTGCGCAACCATGACATTCTACGCCTCCTTACGCTTCTCTTTCCTTAAATCTTTCCCTGCATAATCAGTTGGAGCAAGGTGTATTTCTCTCCACGTATAATATGTGCGAGATATTCCAATTTTCTTGTTTTAATTGTATTTAAAATTTCTATTTCTTTATTCATCCTTCTCAGAACCTCTTTGTTTGTGACGTGTTCTGTCCACGATATTTTCAGAATTCTTCTATATACCCACAGCTCGAATGATTAGAGTTTTTTCATTGATCTCGCATTCTAGGTCTAAGATTCGATTCCATAAAATAAAGTCGAAAAAACATAGCACTTCGGCAACCTAACTTTTAGTACCAATTTTAAATCCCTTGTACATAGAACTCTTCTCATTTTGTTAAAATTTGCTCTAGCCTTTTCTTTTCTGATTTTGATCTCCTGAATGTAATCATTTGTGGAGTTAATCAGTGTTCCCAAATATGCATATTTGTTCACTTGTTCGACGTTGGTTCCGTTTATTATAAGATTCTCGTTATTTCTTTGAGTTTTCGATATTCTCATAAATTTTATGTTCTTGTCATTAATTTTTAGACCATACTCTTTTCCATACCCCACTATTCTGGTCACCAGTCTCTGAAGATCTTCAATATTTCCGGCTAAGATCACGGTGTCGTCCGCATATCTAATGTTGTTAATGGAAACTCCATTTACCTTTACTCCAACTGTGGTCTTGTGTGCTCTTCCATATTCTCAGCTATAATTCCCGTGTCGTCTACAAATCCTATGGTGTTTATTATTTCGCTGCCAATTCGTATTTCCTCTATTCGTTCCCATAAGGCTTTTCTGAAGATGATGTGTGAGTATATGTCAAAAATCCTCAGAGACCAGATGAGTTCTTACTTGACCCTTCTCGCAATCGGTATACAGCCTTTATGATTTCAATGTCGTTTTTGTTTTTCAAATTGATATTTTCGTCCGTCTATCCCTCAAGTTCGTCTATTAGTTTCATATGGCGTACTTGGTCAAAGACCTTTCGACTCTTGCTATACTCCCGACTAAATCTCTTGTACCTACTTCAGCTACTTAACCTTTGTATCGACATCATTTAGTTTGCCATGTATCGTTCAACTGAGAATGTATAGAAAATTATAGCATGCGAAACCGATCGTCGGTCGTAGAATAAACTGATTGTAAGTCTTATTCTTATTTCTCTTTACCTAAATTTAAATGGACTCACATGCAACATATTTAAGATTTGTATAAATATTAATTCAAGCTATTCTTCGGTGATGTTGCCTTCTTCATAAATGTGGTTGATAATTCGAGTGAGTCCCTCTATATTACAATCATCCAAGGCTTTTGGAAATTCCATCTGGGCGTGGTGCCTTTCCGTTTTGCATGCTGTATTGCGTACTTTACTTCTAAAGGTAACTCATAAAAAAAAATTTGTAGCAGAAAAAAATTACAACTTAAAATCTCAGTGGTTTATAAAACTCCATAAACTTTTAACAATCTCTTGGATATTGTGTTTAAACATTGTCAAAGGTGTTTCACATGCATTCAATATTTTTCTTACGTCTAGAAGGTACAGTTAAGTTACGCCTAAATAACGAATTTATATTATAAATAGTAATAATTTAACAAACATTCCACCCCGATCTCGAAAGATTCAAATAAGTTACCTGTTATTATAAAAAGTTTACCTGTTGCAACGAGACACTTGTTATATCTTATTTCTGAACCATCTTCCAGATAAGCAATTCTTTCAACGATATCCAGTTTATTTATACTCCAACCTCTGGCAACAGCTACTCCACCGTTTGGATTTGACATTAACTCTTTGCAATCTATGTAGAAATCTTCTGGCTCGTACATCAAACTATAAATAAGAAAGTTATGAAAACATATGATATTATAGATGTAACGGAGGGTAAACTATAGTATGATAAAGTACAGATCTCTCACAGTATTTTTGGCAGTCAAGAAACTAATCTTACTACATGACATACTAAGTTGAAACTCTCAATATGTTCACTATTGCAAACAGGAGATATGCTCCATTGAAAACTTAGGGTTGCATTTTTGAGGGGACGCAATTTTATTTTTTTGATGTGTTGGAAAGTTAAGAATAAGCTTAAGTTCCAGTTTGTAGGGTTACCACCCTTGACCGCCATCTTGGAAGACGGATACAAAGGTTTTCGCCTACAGAAAATTGAACGATATATTATTTGTAGTAAATTCAATTCTACCAACTTTATTCCTATTAAAAAAATCCTTGTTGGACTTGTTGATAACAACTGAACACAAAGATAACACTTTGTCGTCTCACGACTAGCAACCTCCAGTGGAGTCTTACGTTGCCATATTATCAATTTCTGTTGTAACTTAACCATCCTAGTATACAAGATCAAATAATGTAACTCAAATTCAATTTAACAACATTTAACGGGTTTTTACCCAAGTATTTAGTGTCTCAAAACATGTACATCCAGATTACACTGATGAATTTTTATTTTTGACAATTATATTGCCAAAAATAAAACTTTGTTTAATTTTTTTTTTGTTTACTAACAAAAACAAGGAAGATTTATTTACCATTGATAGATGCTTGAAAAAATGTAACAAATACATGGAAAATTAAATCAAAATGTGATATTTTACTGGTTTCATATATAAACTACATAGAAATAATATAATTATAAATTTTGCTTAGATTTTGAATTTCTGACCTTTTGTTTAAATTATTATCATCTTTGCTAATACAAACAATTTCCAAAAAAGTTCTTTTGAATTTATTACTTTCACTACATAAAATTTTAATATTATTAAAATCCATAATATGGTCTTTGTCGATTACATGCTCTGCCAAAGCACAAGATGGTTTCTTAATTCTGCAATCACTTTTGTGAGAAATAATGCGATTTGAAAGATTTCTTCCGGTCTCACCAACATACTCAGCTTCAAACTGAGTACAACTAATGCTGTATACTACATTTGTTTTATCTAATTTGTCTATAGGATACTTAGTTTTGGAATATAAAGATGAAATTGGTTTGATGTTGTTTGTTGCTATTTTTATATTGTCAATAACCTTTAGTGTTTGTATTAATTTAGGTGTTAATGATGGTATAAAAGGTAGTGAATGATAATAGATGTTTTGATTGTTGGATACAATGTTCTGAGATTTAGCAAAAAATGGTGTTAAGTTATTTATATTAATGTTACGAACGTGCATTTAACGAGGCACGTATAACGGTTGCATCTCGAAACAGCACCTCATGCTTCCATGCGGCGCGGCGGCATCTCGAAAGCTACTCGATATTTCGAGAAAGATCTGTCGCGTTCGCCTAGAGGTGGGAACTTTCTAGAAAATAGTAACTTTAGTATATATATGTAACGATCTTAGGAATAAGTTTAGTTGATAAGAGAGTACCGAACTGTAAAGTTATAAATAAATATATTTATATAAATTCGAACCGCTCGTTTTATTTAATCACGTTACAGTTGGTGTCACCGTGTGAGGACAATTGATTTGAATATAAATTCAACAGTGATTAAAAAAAAAGACTTTTGAACTTTTGAAAAGTATTGGTTGTCGGGAACATCCGCGTAGTTCAGTAGTGATCCTTGTACGAAAGAACATTTAAAAAGTACGTGTGTGCCTGACCAAAGATGCTGTTAGTAGAACTTTCAGTGAAACAGTTGCGTGAGCAACTAGAAGAACGCGATGAAGACTGCAGCGGGTCCAAGAAGATCCTCCAAGAACGACTGAAAAATGTTCTTAACAATAATGGAGATGACCCAGATACATTCCAGTTTCAATCAGCAGAAGAAGCAGTTTTAACAAAAATAATTGATGGAAAATTTGAAAATGTCTCACAAATGATCGAAGAGAGTTCTAAACAAAATGATAGTAAATTTGAAAATGTGTCGCATATGATTGAAGAATCTTCTAGACAAAATGATGAGAATGTTTCCAAAAGATTCGATGAAACATCTCAAATTATTAAAGAAGCAGCTAGACAAAATGACGAGAAATTTGAAAATGTTGCTAGAAGATTCGACGAGACTTCTCAAATAATTAAAGAAATATGTAATCAAAACAATGAGAAATTTGAAGAAGTCTCAAGAACATTTGATCAGATGCAGAAAAATGTAAACAACGTAGAAGAGAAGATCAAACAATTAGAGACCATGATAACTAATACGAAAGTGCTACCACCCGTTAATACGGTAGCCTTAGATCCGGTAGTGAAAGAAGAATCACCGAGAGACGAAACGACACATCATATGAGATTCAAATTGCCACCATTTGATGGAAAGTCCTCTTGGTCCATATACCTTAGACAATTTGAAGCTATTGCGACAACCAATCATTGGACAGAACAAGAAAAAGCCGTTTCCTTGACTGCTGCTTTACGAGGTGATGCTGCGGATATCCTAAGATCGATTCCTAAGGGTCAAGAAAAATGTTACCAGACCTTGTTCACTCGACTAGACAAACGTTACGGAGATGCCCATCTACAACAAGTCTACAAAGTACAAATAAGAAGTAGAATTCAACGAGCAAGTGAGAGTTTGCAAGAATTTGAAGCAGATATTGCTCGTATAGCGCTGTTGGCCTATCCAGAGGCACCAGACAACATTTTGGAAGAAATTGCTGTAGATGCCTTCGTCAATGGGTTGAGAGACAGTGAACTACAGAAAGCTTTACGACTAGCAAGACCAAAAGTGTTAGATGAAGCGCTCGCCATTGCCTTGGAACATGAGATAGCTAGTCGAGTTTCACGGAGCTATCAAGTACGAACCTCTGAAGAGAGTGACGAACGAAACGATAAACGTCTGGAGGATATCGTACGGAAAGTAGTTCGTAACATGATGCCGAAGAGACGTGAACCCAGATGTTGGAATGGTAATAACGAAGGTCATTCGCCACAAAGTGCAAGAAAATAATACAACAGTCAGAAAGCTAGAACAGATCGAACACGCTAGAAAAAGTCATTCAAATGCTGATGTTCAATCAAGACGGCCATACAGTGAAAATCGTAATCATTGTCTTAAATTAGAAGAACGACTTTGCCCCGTGAGGCGAACCACCGTTATTAATGATCAATGGCAGCATCAACAGCTACAAGACGCTCAAGCAGATGATCCATGTATAAAAAGAGTATTGGATTGGGTGCGTCGAAGTGAAAGACCTTCTTGGCAAGACATTAGTGCATGTAGTCCCGAAGTCAAGTGTTACTGGAGCCAATGGAATTGCCTAGTGCTGAAAGATGATCTTCTGTATTCGCTCCGTGCGTGACTGACGCGACACCTATTGCCTTTAACTTACAATTTTGGAGTCCCAATTTTCAGGTTAAACATGTGACATATGTTTGACATTGTTAAATACATGCGACATTGACAATTATTAATAAATTAGTTTTTAACTATATTTGTTCAGTTTATGTACAAAATAAATGTAGTATTAAAAACTGGGTTTCTTAAAATTCATCATAATATATCTTTTCAACTCCAAACGGAAAAGAAAGGGAAAAATCTAGTACTGGCAAATCAAGTTTTTCACGCAAAAGAGCATATAATTAAAAAAAGTAATAGTAAAAGTTATGATATAAAAGCTAAATTCATCTGCAGTTAGCTTGAAGCCTTACGAAATATCATTCAAGGTAAATTATTTAAATTTTTCCTATTTCAATTGCATAAAAATGAAATTATGTCATATTTACTTTTTCATATTAATAGCACGAATTCATCTTTTTCTTTTCTCTAATTTCTATGTAATCTTTGGGAACCTATAAAAACTACACTCACTGTTTCTGCTATTATTAGCACAATTAAATACGCAACATGTATTTCCACACATTTTTGATAAAATTTATGCGTAAAAATATTTTGTCCAATTTTCCAATTTTGTCATATTTCGCCGCTACGCACGCTGGAATCGTTTCAATGTACCCCTACCATGGTCACACACGGAGCGAATAGAACCTTTGAGAACGATGATGGTACAGAAACTAAGCTTCAGTTGATTGTACCTAAAAGTAAAGTGTCAGAAGTATTGCGTCAGTTGCATGACGGTGCATCAGGTGGACACTTTGGTATTACGAAGACTCTGCAAAAGGTTCGAGAACGGTTCTATTGGGTGAACTGTAAAGATGATGTAAGAAGATGGTGCCGGAAATGTGAAGTGTGTGCAACTAGTAATGGTCCAGTTGGTAAAAAGAGGGCACCCATGAAACAGTACAATGTTGGTAGTCCTATGGAGAGAGTAGCAATCGATATTGCAGGTCCACTTCCAGAGACAAACGATGGAAATAAATATATCCTGGTAGCCATGGATTATTTTACGAAATGGACTGAGGCCTATGCGCTACCAAATCAAGAAGCTGCTACCGTTGCAGAGGTACTGGTTAAAGAATTCTTTAGCCGATTTGGTGTTCCCTTGGAGATCCACTCCGACCAAGGGCGAAACTTCGAGTCAAACCTTTTCCAAAACGTTTGTAAATTGATTGGTGTCAATAAGACCAGAACGACACCCCTTCATCCTCAATCAGATGGAATGGTCGAGAGAATGAACCGAACGATGGGTAAACACCTGTCCAAAGTTGTATCAGAACATCAAAGAGATTGGGACCAGCACATTCATTTATTCCTAATGGCCTACCGCTCGGCCGTGAATGAAACTACCGGCCAGACTCCAACCTGCCTGATGTTAGGTCGTGAAGTTCGTTTGCCCTGCGACCTAGAGTTTGGCTGCAGACCTTCCGAAGAACATATTGCAAGCGAAGATTATGTCGACCGCCTAAAGTTAAGAATAAACAACATTCATGAACTTGCCCGACAACACATCCAGTTAGCCAGTGACAGAATGAAAGATCAATACGATTCTCGATGCAAGAATGAAAGCTATGAAGTAGGTGATCTTGTTTGGCTTTATAATCCCCAACGTCGTCGTGGCTTGTCTCCTAAACTGCAAAGACAATGGGAGGGTCCGTATGAAATTAAAAAGAGAATAAATGACGTAATATACCGAATTAAGAAGTTGCCGAAAGGTAAACCAAAAGTAGTTCACATAAATCGTCTTGCACCTTATGCTGGCTCAAATGAAACCGAAGAAGTCCGAACCCTTCAACATGAGATCAAAGATGATCGGCGACCAAGCTTTAATGAGTTTATGTCAAATTACGCAGAGAGAAAGAGTGCTAGATTCGGCGTGACGACAGAAGTTCAGCAGGATCTTTTTAGTGTTCCGCATAACGTCTCTCTAGCCCACTGTGTTGCCCAAGATCTTGAGATGACTAAAGGAATCTCATCCGTATTTTATAAGAAATTTGGTCGCTTGGACGAGTTAAAAAACCAGCAGCCTAAAGTTGGAAGAGTACTGAGATTAGAAGATGGTTCTCGATCTTTGCTGTATATGGTGACCAGGAAGTCGTATACAGACAGGGCAACCTACGAGGATATATGGTGTGCTCTAACTAATTTGAAGAAAATCGTCTGCAATTACGACATTAAGAATTTGGCCTTACCCAAGATAGGCCATGCAATAGATAATCTGGATTGGAAGATTGTCAGAAGCATGCTAGAAGTGATCTTCCGAGAAACCGGTGTAAGAATTACCGTGTGTTGCACTAATCCAAAGACGTGTAATTGTGTCCTTCAAAGACAGTAGACTGTTATTTCTTTCTGAGGGGTTCATGCAGAGCTGGAGAGTCCTGTAGATTCCGCCATCCTGGGCCTACATATAGAGTTGCTGATCGGGACGCTCAGATCTAAGAGGGGAACAGTGTTACGAACGTGCATTTAACGAGGCACGTATAACGGTTGCATCTCGAAACAGCACCTCATGCTTCCATGCGGCGCGGCGGCATCTCGAAAGCTACTCGATATTTCGAGAAAGATCTGTCGCGTTCGCCTAGAGGTGGGAACTTTCTAGGAAATAGTAACTTTAGTATATATATGTAACGATCTTAGGAATAAGTTTAGTTGATAAGAGAGTACCGAACTGTAAAGTTATAAATAAATATATTTATATAAATTCGAATCGCTCGTTTTATTTAATCACGTTACATTAATAATATTAGAAAAAAGCATCCTATGTAGCATATCTGGAGGATAAGAGTTTTTAATTAAAATATTTTTTAACAATTGAAGATCTTCTGGTAGATAATCTGGATGAGAAAACTTTAAAACATGTTCTTTTAATCCTGTTATAAAGTTCATTTTCATCTTATTTGGACAATGAGAGTAATAGCTTATAAATCTATTACTACATATAAGTTTTCTGAACCATCTGGTTTTCAACATATTGTCTGTATTTCTTACAATTCTCATGTCAAGAAATGGTAGAGAATTATCTAACTCTTCCTCATCTGTAAATTGTATATGTTGATTATGATTGTTAAAAATGTTGAACATCAAAACAATTTCATCTTTATATTCCAAAACTAAGGATGCTATAGACAAATTAGATAAATTCAAAAATTTAGATAAAGGTCAGAAATTCAAAATCTAAGCAAAATTTATAATTATTATATTATTTTTATGTAGTTTATATGTGAAACCAGTAAAATATCACATTTTGATTTAATTTTCCATGTATTTGTTACATGTTTTCAAGCATCTATCAATGGTGAATAAATCTTCTTCTTTTTTCTTACTAAACAAAAAAGAATTTGTAAACAAAATTTTATTTTTGGCAATATAATTGTCAAAAATAAAAATTTTTAAGTTGGTATTTATGACATTGAGGCTTATTTGTAATTGTCAATATTCAAATTTATTTATAAATTCAATTGTTTTTCAGAATTATATTAAAATTTCAGAGAAGCATTTATTAGATTAGAACATTTTTATATTGATATTTTTTGAAATATGGTTATATACGAAACTAATTTTATTTGGTGAGTTAACAAAAATTTTTTCTTTCTAGTTCAACTTTGTAACATATTTTGTACTTTTTAGCAGCTCTTGATAATGATTGTAAACACAATTGAAAGCTCGAGTAAAACATAATTAACAAATAGCCCCTTTTATTGACTCCAACCCATCCAAAACAGTTTTATATTTTTTCTAAACGAGTCACAAGTACTTCTTTTATATATATATATATATATATATATATATATATATATATATATATATATATATATATATATATATATATATATATATATATATATATATACATGTATCTATATATTGCTGAGAATAATAACTGACTGGATACCACTATGCCCCAGGTGTAGAGGAATGCCTAGAAGAAGATGGCTGGATGAGGAAGATGATACACGAACAATGAGTGTTAAAGACTGGAAAGTTCAATGCAAGGACAGGAAGAAATGGAAAAGAGTCACGACAGCAGCAAAGATGTGCAGCAAGCTATAAATTGTTTATTTTATTAAGCCACAGTCATAAAGGATCTATAAGTGCTCTTGCGTATATGTCAAAATAAAGTTGTTTTTGTTAAAGGATGACATAAAATAATATGTCTTCAATAACTCTTTATTTCTTTTGTTAATCATAGCTTTCTTTGTTAGTCATAATATAGCATCATCTATTAGAAATTATATCGAAAAACTGTTAAGGCCTTTTGATACAATTTTTTGAAAATTATCTTTTACACAAACATTTTGATGATAACAAACGCAACAAAAAAAGAATTATCTAATTTGGTGCAGTCGTTCTGAAGTGATGCCTGTAGAAATACTTCGGCGATTCATTTTTATATTAATATAGATTAGGCACAGTAAGTGAAAATATACAAATCTATAAAAAATTACCTTCTTTCTGAACCATTCCACTGTTTGAAATTCAACTTTTCCACAGATTCCTTATTATCATTGAACCATATCTCTTTTGATAATGGTGGTCGCATATAAGGGAAAAAATATTCACTAGAAATTATCAGTACCTACAAAAAAATCGTGTTTGTTTATTTATTTAAGATTTATTATATTTGGAAATCAATCATTGTACTACCTTTGCAGTAGGATCTGCGGATTTAATGGCACGAAATGCTGTAAAAGAGGCTGTTCCTCCTCCGATTAACAAATAAGGCACATCTTTGGGTATATCTTTTGAATGTAGGGGGCTTTTTATAAGTTTTCTCTTTTCTAAAAAAAAATATAAAGTGATGATATTTATATGGGAGATAAAGAGCTGTTCGTAATGATCAGAATATTAATTTAAAGCAGATAGAACATATTTAAATATAAAAGAGATTCTACCAATTTCCAATTTCACAATTTGGATAACAAGGATTAACTTGATACATTGAGTGCCAATATTGTTCTGAAGATATTTTCTTGTGGCATTTAAATATAATTTACTATTTTTATTGGGGTTTATCCACAAGTACTTTCCCACTCTAGAACCAAAATGACTATCTACAGAACACTGATTAGACACGTAATAACCTATGGATGTGAAACTTGGGTAATGACGAAAAAAGATGAAGCCCAACTCAGGACATTCAAGAGAAAAATACTGAGGAAAGTATATAGCCCTGTACAAGAGGAAGATGGCACATGGAGAATCAGGAGAAATGAGAGGTTAATGAGTTAAATGAAGGTTATGACATTGTAAGATTTGTGAAAAGTCAAAGACTGTCATGGCTGGGACATGTGCAGAGACAAAACGATGCAAAAACAACAAAGAAAATGTTACAATGGAAGCCCATAGGAAGGCGAAAAAAAGGAAGGCAAAGAACGAGATGGTTGGATGACGTGGAAGACGACCTGAAAACAATGAACATAAGACAATGGAGAAGAAGGGCACAAGGGAGATCTGAATGGAAGGACATAGCCAGACAGGCAAAGAACCATCCAGGGTTATGATGCCAAAAGAAGAAGAAGAAGACTTTCCCACTCTCCCCCACCCTTTATTTAAAAAATAAAAAAGTATTTGAACAACTTTGTGCAGAATTTAGGCCTCTTTCTAGTTCAATTATTTAATACTTGGCATAATTGGGCATATCTCCCAAAAAACTGGTTTTCAAAGTTTTCTTCACAGGTTATGCCCCCTACCGGTTAACCCAGAAACTTGAAAGTTATTTCCAGCGATTTTTGTTGGGCACTTTTACTAAGGAATTTTTTCTCCTAAAGTTATAACATGAATAGTTTCTGATATATAGCCGAGAGATTGGCTTATTGGACCACCCGGTACATAAACAGATAAATAAATAATAATAATAATGTAAACATATCATGTTTCTTATTTCCTAAGTCTTTACATTCTCTACAATACTACAGCTCTGTGTGAAAATGGTAATCTCAAAATTTGATGATGGAACAGATTTATAAGGAAATATTCAGTACAATATAGGACTACAAAAATAGCCACCAAAACAAAAAGAAATACAAATTTCTAAAATATTTTTATGAAAAAACTTACTTTTCTCTTTCTTTTCAACTTTTTCATGCACTATTTCCTCCAAGTGCATTGGATTAAGCCAAAATATCTAAAAATAAAAAAAACTGTATACAATAGGTATCTAAATAAACTTAGTCATAAATGATATAAACTCCATAGTCCTATTTGTCTATAATTATTAATTATCATAAAAATAAAATAAGACAGTTTAGGTTCGATTTTGTTACAGCATATCACCATTAGCTCTGATATGCATATTTCTGCCTGTTGGCTTCATCAGAGCAAACTCATGGTAAGCTCTCTAACCACGATCTCTCTAAGCTTACTATAAGTTCACTCTGATGAAGCCAAGAGGCAGAAATATGCATATCAACGAATAGTGATACACTGAAATGAAATCAAACCTACACAGTATATCTATTTTATTCTTATTATTTTACTCTATTATGGAGTATTAGGAAATCTTTTTCACAAAAGGATTTCTGTCTAGATGAATTGGCATGACATGAATAAAATTATAAATCCGAATGGCAGGCCATTGGTCTTCTGCTTGTTTTGCAACATTTAGAAAAAAAAAACAGATTTTAGTTTTTAAAATCCTAAACCCTGAATTTCATGTCTAATTTATATTCTCAATAATTATCATTTTTACATCTATTATAATTTATATGCTTATAATCCAACACTACACACAATACTTACTACTCCTATTGTAAGTGCAGTTAGTAATAATCCAAAGATTAACAGCCTTTTGTTTCTAGCCCTTGCAGCCTTATCTTTTTCCTTCCAGTCACATTTTGGTTCAGGTATCTCACTCATTAAATTAGGATGCTTACAATCTTTGATTGAAGGTATTCTCTGAAAGAAATAGAAGTTTAGATCTGAAAAATCACTGAACAGAGTTAACATGTGGTGAGAAATTGGGATATATGCTTATGGATGTATGGATTTACCGAAGTAGGGGTAGGTTTACATGGGTTTATATCAACTGCACGGCATTCTTTTAATCTTAGCCCTGATGGCTTTGCATCTTTTTCTGGAGGCTTAGCAGGAGAAGGATGGGACTTGATACTTTCTTCAGGTTTTTCACATACCTTCTTTTTGGGATCATCTTTAGAATCATCATTTTTGCTTGAATAACTTCTTATACTACTACACAGGCTTGCTCTTGTTACTACAAAATAAAAACCAATTTAAGACATTAATTAATGTATATAACATTGATGCTTACGGATTCCCTTGAATGGTGAATGTGCTAGATGACTTATAGAAGTAAATTTCAGTGGGGCTACAGCCAATACTTTAGATATCTGACGAATTCTTAACATTGTTGACTGAATAATTAATATTTATATAACATATGAACTTATACAAAAAGTATCAATTAAACGGTACTGGTACCGGAAAACTAAGAAATGTGGGGTATTATTAATGTTTGTGTATGAAATTAATATTTGCGAATATTTTTTATGAAAATATTGAAAACTTCAAAATTTTGACATCTTCATTTGTTTTAAAGTCAGCCAAATTGCTGTGGTCTAATAATTTCAAATACAAAAAAAATACTATATTTAATGTACACTTTTCCTCACTATCGTTTATAATTTTGTTATGAAAATGACATTGAATTTTCATTAAAAAATAACACGAGGAACCGGCTTGACTTTTTCAATCTCATCTCAGAAAATCGCAATGTGAAATGTGACACTTGACTAATGACGGAAAAGCTTTAGGAATCAGGATTTTTAATCACAGAGAGGGTGATATGTGGATGTAGCTTTTATCCGCTAATTAGGTATACAAGTACAAATGAACTTAAAAATAACAAATTGATTTATAATAAAATATAAGCAAAATATCTTTTTTCGTCTTATGGTATGGTAACACAAATTTACATTTTAGAAAAATGGAATAAATAACCAAGCCTTAAATAGAGCAACTAGTATTACACCTGCTTCAGAAAGATTAAAGAGACCCTGAAAGCACTTTTTAGGATGAGCTTTCCTGAGACTAAACGACTAAACACTGGACTGGTTTAAAACTTACGGTTTTAGGGAAAACTTGCCATGTTACAAAAGAAGTTATAGTAACTCCGGAAAACAAGCAGAAATCAACTAACAGTCCTAAAAAGGTTTGCTTATTGAACATATGTCAATAATATAACAATTTCTTATAACGGGCTATTTCATGTACACATAAACTGTAGAACTCTGTAATAAAGAACCTAAAACAGTCAACCATATCTTGTATGACTTCAAAGCCCTATATCCACATGGCAAACACTTTTGGAGACTGTCGAGTGACCACAAAAATATATGGTGTCAATCCATTAGACCTGTACAAGCTGGTATAGCATATATCGTGTTTCGGAGGGCATATAATGCTGTCGGCCTCGGGTACATAAATAGTCAGGAACACTAAAAACTTGAAGGATAAACTAATGGAGGATGTATTATAACTAGGGAGCGGATTTATATGCGATCAATTTTGTTGAAATATGCGCATATATACATATGCAGTAAAAAATTACAAATATGCACAAGATGTGCAGAAAATTTTTAAAAATAGACATGTCCAGAAACCACATATTTTCTGTTCTATTCTAGTGGGTTGTGTAAATATTATCTTTGAAGTGAAAACATTATTTTTTATATATACGTAATTTATTCACCTTTTCTACAAAAACTGGTATCAATAGTGAAATAGGTAACTATTTAGAATAAAACAACAATATGACTACATAATGTCTTCAATTATAATTAACTACAATTAATGGGTTTTTGTATGGTTTTTGTGTTGAAAAACTCGTATTAATGTCGACAGAGGTAATTGGGGCATATTTAAAATAACTTGTTAAAGCAGAAAATTCTACACCAAAATCAATTTCAAAGTTTCTATTAAAAATTTCATAAATGTCCTGCTGTTATTTTTTTCTAGAACGAATACTACTTTCTTTTTAACTGAATTACCGATTTTATCAGGAACTTTTGAAATGTTTGCTTTTAAAAACTATTTCGACCGATTCTATTAAAGAAATTTTCCGCTTTTATAAATTATTTATGATTTTTACTACAAGACTATAATGTGTCTTGATAAAAGTTAGCTTATTTGCCAATAAAGTTGTTTTAACGACATTTTGTGCCTTTATAATTGCAGCACTGTCTTTGACGTTAAATTCTAAAATCAATTCCTTAATTAGGTAGGTACCACGAAATGTTTAGCAAAAAAAAATTGAAGCTTACATCCAACTTATCCACCTTAATACTGGTTCGGGAGGGAAAGGTACATTCGGTAGGTAATTTGTTCCGGTACAACTGGACCCGTAAAGGATTTATGACAAATAAAAAGTGAGAAATCAACAAAAATATAATTATAAAAACCGACACTTATAGGGACGAATACAAAGATAATGATAATAAATAGAAATACCTGAGAAATCAGTTTTTAATTGTGAGACCTCGGTCACGTAACAGGTTGTGACGCATATCCCAACTCTAGCATTTGCTAAAGCTGTATAAGTGTTTGCATATTCTCCGGGCTGAAAACATATTAACTTAATAATCTTATTTTACAAAGAAACATTTATTACGTTTGTAATATTCAGTTTTTTTAAAATAAATTATATTATTTTAAAAATATCTGATCATTAAAATCTTTAATAAAAATTCCCATAATACGTTCCTTGCGCTGGTTTACAAATCTTCGCATCTGCGCATTCCCGTAATGTTTGTCCATGTTTTTTCATCAATTTCGATTTGCTTTGCTTTGCTTGCTCTGCTCCTGTCAGACTGCGTAGTGGCCGGGTTGGTAGTGTTTGTGTAGTGGTGTTCGCGATGCGTGATTTGGCCACTAAAATGGCTGAATTAAAATTTGAAGCTCCCCTTGCACAATTTGAAGAAACAGATGAATGGGGTTCGACAGAATTCCAGACAGCAAACCTCAAAAACGAGGAAAATCTGAACAATATAAACAAGAAAAAGCAAGACATCAATGATGTCCTTAACGATTTCAATGAGGATATACTCAATAATTCTCTACCCCAAAAAGTGCCCGCTAAGACGTTGATATTGAAAAACGGCGAGACTCAATCGGTGGCTGATAATTTTACCGAGACCTTTTCTGGTTCTCTGGAAGATCTAGTGAATACTTTCGACGAAAAAATAACCAAATGTTTCGGGAATTACGAGGAGTCAGTCGAAAAGTTGGCACCTGTTCAAGTCAGGACTCAGGAGGAAATTATGAATGAATGCCAGTAAGTTTTTCTAAAATTCCTTATTATTAAAATTTTAACATTTCAATAACATAATTATTATGTTAGAAGCGACGTAACTAATGAACAATTATTGTCATAAGTAAAAACTGTTTTTTATTATCTTAGGTACAATTATTTTTGTAATCTTTTTTGGAAATACTTCTTTTTTATGTAACATTAAATAAATGTCAAAATAAAGAAACACAGAAATACTTCAATCTCAAAAAAAATATATACCTAGAGAGAGTAGGGACAATTTTGATTGAGCGCCTTTCCAAAAAGTTAAAATTTAGGACATTAAGGGTTTCTTAATTTTTGCAGTGCTAATACATATTTAAGTAATGGTCCAATGATAAAGCAGCCTTGCAATAGCTTTTATTTTCGAGTATTTACTAAGATGTGAAGTCTTTAGTCCAAACCCATATTATACATTCATTTTAGGCATTCAAAGTGATGGGAAAAGAATATAAATGCAAATTTCTTTTGTATAAGAATTTAATGAGTTTCTGTCCTCTTAATCAGAATGTTTCCTTTATTGTCATTCTGGGCTAATTTCACAACTTTGGTGGTATATTCTTTTGGGAATTTATTTGCTGTGGTATGTCTACAATTATTTACTCCTGACGTTTTTTCTATAACTACGGCAGACTCATGATAGTATCTATAAATGTTGTATCACCTTTGATGATGTATGTTGCAGTTGCAGACCAAAGATTAGGAAGAAATAATAACAATGAACTTGAAAAACAATGTACCATTACGCCGGCTCCATACATACGTCAACATTGACCCCAACAGCGAAAAAACTGTGTTGGTGGACTTGGACAACGTTGGGAGTTTTCCGTGGAGTGTCGGTTTTTGCGTGCACATCAAAGGGATTCGCGCTAATATTGTTGTTGCTGTTGATGCCTCAACCCAATGTGTGGATGCCTCACCGAATGTAGGAACACTATATATGTGTATTGCCTCCAACGTTGGATCCCATGTGTGGAGCCGGCCTTACAATTTCATTTTTCCAACCACAACACTTCTTCATATTTTTCTAAGTTTTAAAACATAAATTATCATGATCTTTTGCATCCAACGACATGTTCTGTTGAAGATTTTTTTATAAATAAACTAAATTGTCAATCTTTACACATTTTGCAATATAAACAGAAGTTTGCAGTACATAATGTTATATGAAGACAAACAATTACCTCACTGAAGGCCCCATGAATATAAAATAAGCATATAAGATATTGCAGATATCCCAGATGGGATGTTTTTATAATAAACTTGCAGTGGGATTGTTAACTTTCCATATCGTAGGTGGTTTAAAATAATATTTGTCTATGTTCAAAACCTATTTCTTGTAGATTTGGGTATTCTCCCTTTTCAAAGTTTTCCTAGATTTTCTTCATTTCTTGTTTATCAAGTATATCCATATGTTGATTTTCTTTGGTATCCTTTGGTACCCTTTATAATCAATGTTTGAATAATAATGATACCATATTATCTAGAGGAAATATTTCCCACCATCTTTGAAAGTCATTTATTTCTACAGTTTCAATCATCCTTTCCTGGTATTTTGTTAAACACGATGTTTCTGCTCCATATAGTAAACTGATTTCAATAAAAGATTCATGTACACTGCGAGTCACGAAAAAGAGGCCACCTAAAATTTTTAACATTTTTTAATGTTCACGAATCATACCACAAAGTGATTGACATTAGATGTTTGTGTAACGTTTAAGAATATGTTCTAAAGCAGTATACAATCATTTTTTAAATAACAAATGTCAAAAAATAACTTCTTCCAAAATAATCATTTTATTGAAGAGTAAAAAAAACATTCTACATTTTTTCTGTTTTCTTTATAAAATTACAATTAAGTCGTGATTATTAATAGTGTGTATTACCACCTCTATTGTGAATTACACTCCTTATTCGATTTGATATTGAATTGATCAAATTCTGGATGTCGTTTTGAGGAAAAGCTTTCCATTCTACCATGAGTGCCAACCGAAGCTGCTCACGATTTATTGGAGCAGGTATTCTATTTCTTACCCTTCGTTTGAGCTGGCCCCAAACATGTTCAAGCGGGTTCAAATCTGGACTTTGAGCCGGCCAGTTCATTTTGGCACACCGACAGTTTCCAGATATTGCGTTACCATCCTGGCTAGGTGTGGCTACGCGTTGTCTTGCATAAAAATAAAGTTTTCGCTTACAAACCCAGCAAAAGGCATTACATGCTCGTCTAGAATTTCGGTAATTTATCAGTTTGCATTCAACGCTTCTCTATCAATAAATACGAGATCAGTACGGCTCTAGAATGAAATGCCTGCCGAAATTACCGAACCTTCTCCAAAAGCAACACGTACTAGTTGAACACAAGCTGCATATCGTTCCCCACGTCTTCTGTATGTTTTGATACGACCATCTGAGCCGTAAAGAACCATCCTGGACTCATCACTAAACAAAACATTTTTCCTCTCTTCTATCGTCCAATGCTCGTGGTCTCTAGCAAACTGTAGTTGGCGTTGTTGATGTGCTGCTGTTAACAAAGGTCGTGTTGCTGGATAGTGAGCCCTTAGACCAAATTCTCTCTACCTTCTTATGAGCCGTAAAGAACCGATTGTGCAAAGAAGTGCGTTGTAAAGAACGGCTTCTCTGGCCGTCGTGATTCTTCTCGGGCCTGATCATGGTCGTCGTTCTTAAGATCCAGTCTCTAGGAATCGTTGGTAAATTTTTTTGGACCATACAACGACTGACTCCAAGCTGTCTGGCCACTTCTCTTTGACTCATTCCATTACCAATCAAAGCAAAAATTTGAACAGATCTAGCAAATTTCTCAGCCATTGTTTTTAATTTAAAAATTGCACAAGTTTACTCTTCGAACAACTGTACACTAATGAAAGGTTTTGAAAAACAAAATAACTATATTCCAAGAAAAATAAGGTACAAACAACACGTGCATTATCCGAAGTCGTAAAACTGATATCAATTGCTGCAAACTTATTACCCTTAATTGACCTGTCAGCACCGTTTGTCTACTTAAGTCTACTATTAACTTAGTTATTAACTTAACTAAGTTATTGAAAAATTCTTACAAAATTTTAGGTGGCTCTTTTTCGTGACGCGTAGTGTATATTGTATTTCCTAGTTTTTTTTTGTTCCCGACATACCACACACTGTCTGCTTTATTATTTTATATTCATAGGTTATCTATCTGGTACATCTTTCGTGTCTACTATTCATATTCACTGCATGGGAAAATATTTCATTATTTTCCAGATACATTTTCAATAGTTTGGCTAATACGGGAAGATATTTTATTTGACCTCAGTAAATTGCTGCATAGCTACATTCAAGAAATGGGATGGTAATCTGGCATAGTGCCCATGGCACTAAGAAACCTTAGCTAAATCGAGATTTAAAACAAAATAAGTAGGGTCTGTAAAGTTAGCATATCCATTTTATAATTCCGAATTCAGACCAACAATATATAGCCATAGCTATATCTCGGCAAGGCAAGTGGGTACAGGGATCATCTTACCGGCATAATTTAGTGCTAATTAATTCCTGTTGATCGATATATTAACTAATCCCCCGAAACTACCCCATCATTCCCTAGCTCAAAAACCCCCCGGAAGAAACTGAGATATCGGCCAAAAAGCGAACCGCAAGGAATTGATTGCCGAAATTTTATGTCAAGAAACAACCGATTACTACAACTGTTACAGAAAATATAGACCAAGTCCAAGAATATATTTATTTAGGACAATCTATCACGACAGATAGATAGATGTACTAGATACTAGAAACAACTTGACAGAATAAAGAAAACTCAAAGATCCATAAAAATACAAAACTGCGTAAGTATATTGTTGCGAGACAGAAAGAATAATAAATCGACAAGGAGAAAAACCAAAGCACTAGTCGCCATCGAACATATTCTAAACCTTTAATGAACATAAGTTGCGGCGACTACGAACTGCTCCACGCTATCTATGTACTTAGATAATATTATTGTGAACATAATATAGTTTTTATTTTACTTTCTTGTATTCAAAAAGGAACCCAATTCCCAAAGCATTAGCGAAAATTTTAAATGATTAAATAATGAAACTATAACAATAGAAGTAATCGAATAAAGTTTATTTATAAATCTACATTAACTTATATACAATAACAAAAACTACAGTTAAACAATAACAATGCTTAATTCTAATGTCAGACTAGTGATTCAAATAAGTAAGAGTGAACACTTTATTTTAGATTTTAAAAGTTAGCTGCATAATAATTGCAAACTGACTTAATGAAGTCCAATTTAGTAATGTTTTGATTAACGTAATATTCATTTAGCCTATTTTCAATAAAATCAACTTTTCTTTTTGCCGTTTTATCAAGTTTTTTTTCGAATCTATGTGCAGTTCTAATTTTCACATATACTTCTGCTTGAAAATTTAACAAAATGTGTGTAAATTTAAATATGTCAGGATGTGATTTATAAAAACATTCGTTAAATTTCGAGTGAAATGATTCACATGCGTTTGTAGTAAATATAGGTAATCACAAAATTGCAAAACTCTGTCATCTTCTTTCATAATATTAAAAAGTTCATCAGAAAAAAAGTCACCAACATCATTTGGATGTAAATAAGGAATGCCGAAAAACAATTTTAAATATTTTCCAATAACAGTTTGATTTTTATATTCCGAGGACAAACCTAAATTTTGAATTTTTCGGTACCAATTTTGTGTTAAATGAAATTTGCAACAAAAAATAATAATGTCGGGCCACACTAGCTTTTCTGCATTTTGAATTGCTATTTCAAAATCAGAAATTATTCGCTTCGGTTTGAAATTTAAATTCAAATCTGTACATATTGTTATTAATGTATCAAAAGTACTTTTGTACGATTGCTGTGATTTATTTGGTAACAAACAAAATACTAGAGGAACATAAAAACCATTTTTGTAGCCATGTATAGTAAACATCTGACAAAAATATTTAGA